TATTTTTACAGAGGAAAGTGGGGCTCAGATAGATCACGTGATTTTCCCAAGTAACTGAGCTGAGACTGGAAACCAACTGGTCTGACTCCTGGTCAAGCAGCCCTTGAACAGTGCTGAGCACAGTATCTGGCACGTAGTAGGACTTGCATTTGAAATATAAGGAAACGGAGGCCCAACTAGAAAATGTGATTCAGCTAAAGACATACACATAGTTAGCAGCAGAGACACGCTGGAGAGAGGTTCTCCACACATCCAGTCCAGTATTCTTTCTATAAGATTTTTGCAGGTTGAGTGGTATTTTGTTTATAAATATGAATGTGATTTTCAACAATGGCCATAGGCACTCTGACGAGACATGAAAAGGCAGATGGAAGACCTCTGTCTTGAACCTGCTCCCTTTCTTACTATCAGCTTGTAGCCTCCTGTTTCCTGCCAAAGTTCTATACTTATCACCCTCACTTCCCCACCCACTCATTCACTGCTCAGCCCCCTATAGTCCCACTTCTATCCCTGTCTGTCTCCTGAAACAACCTTCTCTAGTCACCCTGATTGCCAAATTCAGCGGCCCTTTATCAGTCCTCGTCTTCCTTAATTTTCTGTGCCATCTCATGCTGTGGACACACACATATGTACACACAGACACAGACACACACACACACACACACACACACACCCCATGTTTTTTTCCTGGATACTCTTCCATTGCTTTTCATGATGCTGCTCTGTCCTAAAGCTCCTCAGACCTGTCTGACTCTGCCTTCTCTGACCCTTCCTTACCCTGGCTCCTCATCTCTTTGTCCCCTAACTATCATTGTCATCTTTATAATAATAGACCTGGCATACATACAAGAGATTTGTATTAGAGGCTACACATTCTTGAGATTGTTGAGGTCTCAATTCTCAAGATATTTAAAAAAGGGAAAGATTAGAAAAATTGCAGACCTTTTTGTTCCTTGAAAAGCAACTGAGAAAATACTACTGGCCCCGGTACCTGCTTTCCATCTCCAGAAAATTGTCCTGAGAATAATCTGAGAATAAAGGCATGAGAGAGGACAGAGGGGTTTCCACAAGCAGACCATGTGTGTGCTGACACAGAACTGATGAAGATGCTTGCAGAATACAAACTGCTACGGTGTTTATTGCTTTTTTACTACCAAAAAAAAAATTGTTCATTAGAACAAAATACCACCATAAAGACTCTTTGCTTCTCTCATGTGTATCTTAAAATCATACAAGGTTACTTGAAAGATAGCTTTAATGAACCTCTAATTCTTAATATCAAGTGAGGTATAATAATAATGATCACAATAACAATAGTAATTGTATCTGTGTAACACTTTAAAGTTTGTATGGCACTTTACATCCCTTAGATCCTCACAACAACCCTGTGAAGTGGGTGTTTGTGGGTGACATTGTGCTAGTTCCATCAGTCCCAAAGACACTGAAGAGCCTACTCAATAAAGTCCGTAATGCTTTTTCAAGAGTGCAGCCTAACCATCCTCAGGGAGCCAACCAAGTGGACAAAGAATGCCTCTTGTCTTTCTAAACTCTAACGCTGATTTAGACGGACAGACACTGGGGTGAAAAATCCAGGGCCAGAACTGAACAGGAGGAGACCAGGTTGGATCGCACTTGGGTGACAATGCAGCTATCTTTTAATGATCCTAAGCCTGAAGATCTGAAACAAAGACAGCCCACCTTTGAAACACCAATATTTTTCTAGTGATGCACTATGACTTGGAGTCATGGAATAATAGTCTCTGAAGAATTAAATCTGTGGGTAGCGCAGAAGGCAATGGAGAGCTGTTGCAGGGGAGAGGGGAATGTGAGAAGGCCAGAGCATATATGACCAAGGAAGAATTAATTGCACAGGCACAGTGAGGTGGAGGAGATCACTAAAGAGATGTTTGACTAACCATGGAGGTAGGCTGGTCAAGTAGCTAGGGTAAGGGACAGCTGATGGACACAGTGAAGAGAGCTAAGGGAGGTTCCTCATATGTTGAGTGGGCTTTCTTTGGGATACTTCAAGGGCCACAGGGATGAAAGGCGCACAAAATGAAGGTTACCATCTGCCCCAACAGAGTGACTCTACGGACGCTGATGAGATCACAGATTCATCTGACATTTGTATAACACTTTAACATTAACATCAGAGCAGGGACAATGTCATTTTTCATTTGTGTATTCCTAGAACTGAACCCAAGGCCTCACACATAGTAGGCACTTAATGAATGCACTGCATTGAGCTGAATTGAATTGACCTGGGCCTGGTGGCTTTAAGGGTGGGAGCTTGTCAGTAGGTTGGGAGGCTGGGAGAGTTGGGTGGAAAGCTGTCTCAGCAGAGGTAGAGGGTGGGGCAGAGAGAGATGAGAGCATGAATGTCTCATGTTGTTTCCTGGCTCTCTCCCTGATCCCTTCCCCCCACATGCCTTTCCAACTTTGGGCACAACTGTATCAGGGAAGGTGATTCCTCTGAACCAAACAGGGACCGGGGCGGGGGGGGGGGAGCCAGGGCCGCAAGCCCTTGCAATAATCCTCCATCTTGCTCTGAGTTTCATGAAGGGAGGGTTAGAGCCACAGGAGGAGAAAAGAAAGAAAAATCCTGCCTCTGCCACTTGGGTGACATTCCAGAGGTCATTTCCCTTCCCTGACCTCAGTGTCCTCACATGTAAAATATCTAAGTTACCTTCCAGTTCCTTGTTCTGATACATCCAAAGATTCCTTCCAGCTCTAAATCGTCTCATTCCTTGACCTGTCTCTGTGGGATAGCTGACTTTCCCTGAGCCATCCAGAGCTGATTTCCTCTTCCTCTCACCACCTACAATGTTTTGATTAAGAAAAATCATTTATTCAGTTCTGCTACAAAGGTCCCTGCCCTTATGGAAATTCACAATCTATTAGAGGGATAAGATACCTATCCAGAATGCTCTGATGCACAGTAATTCATGATAAGTTCATTAGAGGTGCAAATGCTTGTGATGTCTGAAGAAGGAAAGACCCTTAACTTGAATAATGTGGTTTTATTAATAGATATTTCATTCCCTGTTTATAAACAAAGGCATGACTATTTGGATCAGTTAAAGACTTCATATGGATAGATACAAACATACATACATACATATACATAGACAGATAGATACACAGATATATAGACAGACAGATAGATGCACAAAATCATAGATACATAGATAGCAGATAGATACATAGATAGATAGATAGAAAGTATACATAGGTACATAGATACATAAATAGGTACATAGACAGACATTTAAAATATATATGATATATGTATTATATTCTAAACCATAGACATAGGAAAAACATTCTTCTGTGTCTAGGGTTTTGAATATAATAACAATGTCTGACATTTGTGATGTTACCAGTAGCCCAGAAGGAGAGCTCCTACTCAGAACTCATAGGGAACCTAAATTCATCCTAGAAGCAGAAAGATCCCAAAGAAGAGGATTGGGCTTTTCTTCAGCTTTGCACTTTAGAGTAGCACTCTGGCTCATGTCTATAATCTCCTTAACAGGGTCCCACCTAGTAAAGTCTTTAATGTACAAAAAATATCAGATTTAGGATGGCAGTTTGTTTCCTCCACCACAAAAGAGTTGCTTAAAATACAAAAGACTGATGATGTTAACACATTGTCAAGTATTTAAAACACAAATCCATAACCCATCATACCTACTGTGCCCTCCTAGGAGGTAACTTAACTTTGTAGAACTACTCTGCAGACATTTCACATTCATCTTCAGTCTGTCCCATCCAGGCAGCTCAAGAGATCCAGATTTCCTGGCCAGCCTAGTAAAGTTTCTCTTTTCTCCTTTGAGGTTTATGATTTTCCTATTAGTGGATCCTAATAGGGTCACTGAATGATTTTCAAGAGTAAAATTGCCTTTCTCTGTGACTATGGGACTCCCCTCTCAGAGGCCTGTTTCTTGCTCTGCAAAATGGAGGTAGACTTTAATATAGCTTTACATAATCCAATCCTAAAATAGGGTTTCAACCCCCCTTTCAAACAATTCCCCTAAAGCATCCCTCTCTTTGTTCTCAGGGTCACCATTCCCACCCCCACCCCAGTCCCCAGGTCATCAGGCTTCTTGGATGATAGGTGAAGAGACAACTGACTTTTAACGCCTAATAATCAAGAATAAGTAGTTAAAATAGGACGTTATCCAGTGGTTTGCCTTCTAGTGGAATAAGAGAGATAAGGTTGGGGGAAGGCATGTGGGTGACCTCCCCAGCAGCTTCGTTGTGTCCCAAGATTTCTGCCTGGAACCAGAGGCTAGTATCTGCCTGCCCCACCCCCTCCCCCCAATCCATACCAACTGCAGTTGCCTTCCCACAGTTCCACTTGCTGTCAGCATGCTTTGGAGTGTTTGTGCAGGTGCTCTGAGTACAAGTATTATCATCCCTATTTTACAAAAGAGTAAACTGAGGCTCTTGGAGTATAAGTGATTTGCCCAAAGCTGTTATCCAGGTCTTCTGACATCAAGTCCAGTGTTGTTTTCACTACAATATGCTGCTGAATAGGAATTATTATTAGGGAATACAGTAAGTTTTGGCTCTAATTTTTTTTTCTCATAATAGCTTTTACCAACAGGAGAGATCAACAGAGGTTTCTACAAATATAGATACAATAATACAAATGGGTAATGTTTTTGTAATTTATTTTTTAAATTGCTCACAGCTCCTCTTAACCAGCAGGGATGATTAGGGAAGACTAGGAAGTGACATTTAAGTAGGGATTAAAAGACTGGATAGGATTTCAACAGATGACCCAAAGAGAAAAGGGTGGGCATCAATAAAGATCTCTGAAAACTTAAGCATAAGAATCAGCCTTTGGGGGATCACTGAATTTACTTTTCATATGATTACACAGGACTGCCTGCTAACAATGCAAGACATAACCTAAATGTGAGTGAGAGGAGGGACCTGTCCTTGAGTCAGCTCTCAGAGGTGCCACTGGAGTCACAGGTAGAAGAGCTGACCACCAGGTAATCTGTTCTGTTCACTTCTCTTTTATCATATTGTTTGCTCTTTCCTGTAGAAAGTTGTATCTGTTCATCAGGGACCCATCTGTTGGGACTTGAATGAAACAAGGAAGATCAGTCAGCAGGGGCTATATTTGTAATGCCAGCAATTGTCACCTGGCATATGGTGGTGTCTGGATCATGGCAAAGGGTCCAAACACAGAATCACAGCATCCCAGAGATGGCAGAGGGCCTCAGAGGTCATCTGGGCCAACCTCTGCCTGAACAAGGATATTCTCGATGAGATCCCCCCAAAGTGATTGTCTGGCCTTGCTCGAAGGTCTCTAGTGAGAGAGAATGCTATTCTTCCCAAGGCAGCCCATTCTGCTTTTGGAGAGATCTAATGGTTAGCAAGATTGTCCTTTCCTAAGCCTACATCTCCTTCTCTGTAACTTCTGCCCCTCACTCCTTCAGTTCTCCATAGCTTCCTCCCTCTGGGGTCACACAAACAAATCTAACCCTTTTTCTACATTGCATTCCTTCGAATACTCCAAGCTAGCTGTTATCGTCTCTTTTTCTCTGGGATAAAGACCTGCTGTTTCTTTACCTGATCCTCACATATCATGGGTTCAAGTCTCTTCATAGTCCTAGTTATATTCCTTCAGATGCTTTCCAGGTTGTTAATATCCTTCCTAAAATGTGATCCCCAGAGAACTGATGACAATGTTCCAGATGCAGTCTGACCAGAACAACAGGGCTGTCATCTCCCTCTTTCTGGATGTTGTACCTGAAATCACATTAGTATTTTCGGTTGCCATATCATGCTGTTGGCCTATATTGTGCTTGCAGTCCACTAAAACCTCCAGATCTTTTTCAGACAAATGGTTCTTTAACCATAACTTCCCAGTGTTGCTGTTTTTGCAAAGCTGATTGTTTTTAACCCAAATGTAAGACTCTATATTTGCCTCAATTAAATTTCATCTTGTTATTTCATCTTATTTGGCCCTGTGCTCTAGCCTAGATTCTGAAGTTCTTTTTTTTTTTTTTGGCAATGGGGTTAAGTGACTTGCAGAGGGTCACACAGCTAGTGTTATGTGTCTGAGGCTGGATTTGAACTCAGGTCCTCCTGAATCCAGGGCTGGTGCTTTATCCACTGCACCACCTAGCCGCCCCAATTCTAAAGTTCTTGAATCAGATATCCATCCATCCCAGCTTTGTATTATCTGCACATTTTATAAGCATGACATCCATGCCTTTATTCAAGTCCTTGATTAAAAAAAAAAAAAGGTAAAGAGCATAGATCAGGTATTCTACCAGGGAATGAGCTGTTCTACCAAAGGATGTCTTCCAGTAGACACTGTGCCATTAATGATTATTCTTTGGGCCTGGCCAGTCGCCATCTTACCAGGCAGCTAGGTGGTGCAGTGGATAGAGTGCCATCCTCTTCCTGAGTTCAAATCCAGCCTCAGACACTTACTAGCTGTATGACCCTGGGCAAGTCACTTAACCCTGTTGGCCTGTTTCCTCATCTGTAAAATGGGCTGGAGAAGGAAATGGCAAAGCACTCTAGTATCTTTGCCAGGAAAACCCCAAATGGGATCATGGAGAGTTGGACGTGACTGAGATGACTCAACATTCACCACCTTCTAAAGTCCCTTTGTTGGGCTAGCATCAGACCCACAAGAAGAACCTGAAAAACGTTGTCAGATCCTAGCAATCCATCTCTCCAGCCCTCCCCTGATCTGACAGTTTAGTGACCCCCCCCCATCCGAAAGGGAAACTAGTTAAGTCTTAAAGACGCCATGATGGCTCTTTGGGATCACTGTTTCCTTTTTAGATGCCCATGAGCCATCCCTTTAATAACAGCCCCTAAAAATTTGCCAGCAAGAAAGTCATGTTCATTGGCGTATAGTTTGCAGGCTTCACTCTCCTCCTTTCTTGAAACTAAGGACAGCGCCTGCCCCACTCTAATCCTGCAGCCTCTCATCCCTCAGGATTTTTCAAAGATTGCTGGCAGCTCAGGGATCAGATCTGACAGTTCTTTGGGTACCCCTCCCCCACGTGGCTCATCTGGGCCTCGTGACTTGAACTCAGGAGCCTCTTGATGCCCTCTTGCCATCCCTCGCCTTATCTGGAGTGTTAACTTCCCTTTGGCCATTTCTATTCTCTTTTACAGTCCAAAGATCATTCAGCTTGACAAAGAAAAGAGAAGCACAAGAATTGAACACCTCTGCATTCTTTTCATCATCTGTTGTCACTTTCCTATCTTTTCCATCCCCTCTTTAATCATTCTCTTCTCAGTACAGATTTGAAAAAATTAGCCCAAGCCCTCTTTGTTGTATAAAGCTTTCCTCACCAAACCTTATTCTGAACTTGAAGGGGGCCTTCCACTACACCCCTGCTCATCACAAACTCTTACGTCAGTCAGTGAGTTCCCTTTGTACTCACATAGGTCTTTGGACAACTCCTTTTCCTCTTCCTCAGAACGGTTTCTGAGATTCCATCTGGGAGTCTGAAATGGCCACCAGCACTTCTCCAAGAGTATTTCTGGAAAAATTAGCCATCATAATAGTCCCTAAGTAGCTGGATGAAAGATTTTAATCTCAGCACATCTACTGTCTCTGAACAAAACACAACTTGTAATATCTGATTGTGTCCTGCTGGTTAATGAACTCTATTCTCTGAGTCTTGGAAACCACTAGAGTGGGCCATGATAATCCCCAAATTGAAGAGGAGCTCCTGTTTTAGTTTGCAAGCTCCTAGCCTTACACTACCCATGGGACCCAGTTAGTTCAAGTTGTTGTTGTTGTTTTATTAATTCTAGGCCTGTGATTTCACTGCCATGTGATGCTTCTAGAAGGGAAAACCCTCTCTACCAAAGCAGATCAGCAGCATATTTTGCACCTCATGGTCTTAGGGAGTGGTCTGGGAGCCCTGGCGGGCTTAATGACTTGCCTTGGGTCTCACAACCAGTAAGCATTAGAAACAGGATTTGCATTCAGGTGGCCCTGATTCCCAGGTCAGCATTCTTATCAACTAGCTCTGGGCAGGGAACCTGTGGCCCCTCTAGGTCCTCAAGTGCAGCCCTTTGACTGAATAGCTATACTATTCAGGCGGCCAGGTGGTGCTATAGTGCACAAAGCACCCAGGCCGGAGTCAGGAAGACAGCCTGAGATCAAATCCAGCCTCAGACACTTACTAGCTATGTGACCTTAGGCAAGTCACTTTACCTTATTGGCCTCAGTTTTCTCCTCTGTAAAATGAGCTGGAGAAGGAAATGGCAAACCACTCCAGTATCTTTGCCAAGAAAACCCCCAATGAGATCACAACTCAACAGCAGCATAGTATTCTACTTATTCCCATTTTTACAGATGAGGAAACTGAGCTTTGACGGGGCAGGGAGGGGGGAGGAATGACTTGCCCAGGGTCACACAGCTATTAAGTGTCTAAAAAGGGTTTCTTAGTCAAGTCTTCTGTCTTCAGGCTCAGCACTCTGTGGACCATTCCAGATTGCCTCCTCTAGTCCTTTTATTTGCTCTTTAGTTCTTTTTGGTCACATTCTTCTCTGAACATCAGTTTCCTTCTCTGTGAAATGGGGATAATGTTATATCTCTTACCTCATAGGGTGGTTGTCAGGAAAGTGCTTTGTAAACCTGCGTAACCCCCTGGTGTGGAACTCCTCGCTGGTTAAGCTGAGATACTTCACTCCCATTGGGAGACCTCCTTTATTCTGTATTCTCTGGTGCATATTCTCCTAGTTTTACCTTCTCTGACTGCCGTTTTTCTGTCAATTTAGATAAATGAGTTTCTTCGCTATTTGGGGTGTGTGTGTGTGTGTGTGTGTGTGTGTGTGTGTGTGTGTGTGTGTGTTCATTGTGGAACTAGTATCTGGTAGAAAGAAAGTCAAGCCTTAGATATGTAGAGTTGGGGTCCTCCTTTCCCCATTAAAGAATGTAATCAGGAGTTTAACTTAAACCTGAAAAGCACATCCCCCAAGATAGCTCCGATCCTAGACTGGTTGCCCAGGCCTCCATCCCCAACCTCCTGATTCCCCTGATGGCAGGAACTGAAGTCCTAGTTGGAGACTGATGGGAGAAGGAGATTTTAGAGATGTATCTATTCCTAACTCCCTTCAGGCCACAATTGAGAAGGCCACACTATGCCTGAGAGAGCCCTGAGGAGCTCTGCAGAAATAATGAGGATTCACATTTCTGCAGAGCTTTCCAGTTTACAAAGCACTTTCCTCTCAGTCCGGAGGTGCCAGTATCACCCCCATTTACAGATGAAGAAGCCGAGGCCCCAGAAGGTCCTTTAAAAGTCTTTTCCCTCCAGCTGCCACACCCCTTCCCCCCCAGCAAGTGTCCAATCTGAGCTTCCGACTCAGGTATTTCCTGCTCCTAGGCCCATCCTCTTCCCAATGCGTCTTGTTTGAAAGGTCAGTTCTGCTTTGCATTTGTATCTGTGTAGACTTTTGATCCAGGCCGAAGAGAACGAAGCCTTGAAGGCCACCATGAGCAACATCCTGAAGGTGAAGGAGGAAGACTTCAGGCTGTACCATGAGACCATGAACCAAGTGAAGCAGATCTTCCTGCAGGCCCTGCGGCAGCAACAAATGTGAAAACCCGAATGGCCAGCCCTCCAGTCAGCACCCTGGGCAAGGAAGTGGGGAGGCAGAGCAGGCCTCCCTCCTCCAGGCAGCCTGGACGCTGCCAGGATCTTCCTGCCCTCTAGTCACATAGCCTCAGGTTTTGCTTGTCCTTTTGCATCACTTGGAGAATTGCAAATGGAGAAGGAACAGGATTGGGGATGGGGAGTGGGCCCTGGTCCACATCCCCTTTCTGTGTGATGGTGCCATTAAAAATGAATACGTCCAAGGTGAAGTCAGTGAAGGCCGAATCCCTCAGGGCGAGACTATGACAACCCAAGTGGTTTTGGAATCCCATCATAGTATGGGAAGAGCTCATGAAGTACTTACTTCATAAAACTCTAGGATGCATAATATTCAAGGTCATCCTACCCAAGAGGCTATGATAATAGCTGCTTGTATAAGATGCTGGGATCATAGGATTTTAAAGTACAAAATGGCCTTAGAGATAATGGAGTCCAATCTCCTGTGACAGAAGAGGAAATTGAGCCCCAGAGGGGGAAAGGGACTTGCCCAAGGTCATAGAACCATAAGTGATAGAGTTAAATTTAAACCCAGGTCTCCTGACTCCCAGGTCACCATATCATGTTGCCCTGTTCACAAAGTGCTTTTACTGCCGTCATCTCATTTGAGGCTCATTTTAACCCTGGGAGGGATGGATGATCCTCCTTGTCCAAGGACACATGACTAAAAAGTGTTGGGACTAGAATTTGTTTCAATTAAATTAAACAAGCATTCATTGAGTGCTTATTGTATACAGGGCCGTATGCTTAAGACTAAGGATACAGAGATGAAAAACAGTATAGCCCCTTGCCTTTGTGGCCGGTAGCCTAACACACAGATGGCATACACCACTCACACAAATATGGTACTGGGAGAAATGTGAGCTAAGGGGCAAAGGAAGAATCCATACAGAGCGCACTAGGAAAGTCTGAGATGGCAGCCAGAAGGCACTTTTACTTAAAAGGCTGATTGGTGAGAGGTGGAGAGGGAAGAAGTAGAAGGAAGAGAGGGATTTCAAGAAACAAATGTGAGGAGAGAATACATTCCAGGAATTGGAGGCAGGAGAAGGCAAGATGGCACCAGGAAAGAACCTGGGAGTCCAGTAGTCCAGTTTGGCTAGAGCACTGAGTGTGTGCTGGGCTGTAATATACAGTAATGCTGGAAAGGTGAGTTGGAACCAGATCACAAAGACCTTGAAGGCCAGGCAGAGGGATTTATAGTTTGCCCTACAGACAGTAGGGAGACACTGAAAGCTTTTGGACAGGGTAATGCTATGGGAAGAAGAAGAAGAAGAAGAATATTCTGGCAGATAACATGAAAGATTAATTGGATAGGGCTTCTCAGTTTACAACAATCTTTCCACTATCCCAGGCTTTTTTTTTTTGTAGCACATTCATTTATTGTTTTGACTAATTCCAAATAGCCTCAAAACTCCAAATGAAAACCCATAAGGCAGACATTTAGCCCAAGCCCACCCTTCCAAATAGGTTTCATTTCTTAGTGCCTAGAGACAAGTCCTTGGCCCAGCAGGTAAGTCCTTTGGGAAAGTGGTACAGGGGTGATAAGAGCCTGGTAATGACCCACTCAGGGATCCGTGGAACATGAAATCTGCACGATGTTTGTATTTTGTTGTTTCTATTATAATCCCTAAATGACCTCTCAGTTGAGGTTGCCATAATGGAAGAATTAATCTTCCTAATAGACTGTTCTGACCATCACTCTCCTGCTCAAAACCCTTTGGTGGTTCCCCATTGTCTTCAGGCAATGAAGTTTCTAGGCGGGTCCTTGGAGGCCCTTCCCGATGTGACTGCCCGCTACCTCTCCAGGCTTATTTCATAGTCATTCTCTTTACATACTACATCTCACTCAGACTGGACGGCTAGTTATTCCCCGACCTCATCCTGCCCTCTCCTGCCTCCATGTCTTCACTCCAGCTATTCCCTCCCCCCACCACTTCCTCCTCATTTCTACCCATTGAAATCTTTCTCTGAAGGCACATCTCAAATGTCGGATCGATGAAGCTTCCCCGACCCGATTTGGATTCACACTTCTCCATCCCCAGCAACCACCATCACTACTAAAGCTGGAAATGATCTTCAGATTTCCCTAGGGAAATCTGCCCCATTCTCTTCTCTGCTATTATCACTTTCTATTTTATACCACATTGTTTGAATATGTGTTACATTCTTCCACATCATCAGTGAAATGTAAGCTGCTTGAGAGCAGGGACTGTGTCATTTTCCTCTATACTTGTATCATTTGGTGGGGTTCCATAGAGGCCCCTGGCCATAATAGGCCTTTAATAAATGCTTATCAAATTAAATCAGACTGTGAGAGAAGGATCTTTAATTTCCTATATAGTCACCATTTCTTCAGATTTTGGGTTCTAAGGGCCCCTGGAATGTAGCTTCAGAGTGGAAGGGATCTTGGAAACGCCACATTTTACAGATGAAGAAACTTAGACCACAAGAAAGGAGATGGCTTGTCTGAGGTCACGGGAATGGTAAATGGCAGAGCCAGAATCCACGCTTCATTCTGTTGACTCCATACCCAGTGTTCTCTCCACTCTGGATGCCATTGTCAAGTTAGTGAAATGCCCAGTGTGGCTATAGTGGAAAGAGCCCTGAATAGAGGGGCAGCAGATTCCGTGGGCCCAACTTTGAAACTAAATACATGTGTAAACATATTAACCAATCAATAAACATTAAGTTCCTACTATGTGCTAGGCACTGTGCTAAAGGCTGGGACTATAAAAATAAGCAAAAGATAGTCCCTGCACTCAAGGAAATCACACCCTAATGGAGCAAATCTAATATCCTTTCTCTGGGCCTCAGTTTCCATATCTGTAAAATGAGGGGGTGGGACTAGAGGATTTGTTCTGTAAGTTTGGATTCAGTCAAAGGGCTGCACTTGAGGACCTAGAGGGCCACATGCGGCTTCAAGGCTACAGGTTATCTCTGAGGGCCCTTTTACTTTGTTCTAGGACCTATGATCCTCTGATCCTCAGAGAGCCCCTGAGACCCATCTAATCACAAAGTTTGGCCTTGGAATGGACCTTCCCACTTTGAGGATCTCTTCCACCATACCTCTGTATCAGGAGCCTGAGAGGGTGGAGGACAGAAACCCAGCATCATTGATGGTTTTGGGCAGCTCCCTGGTGCTCTCCTCTGACAAGGCGTAGAGCGGGTTTCCACTGGCGGTACTGCAGGAAGCCAGGATCATAGAATTTCAAGCTGGAAGGAGCCATAAAGTTCCATCTTTAAAAGACCATCTAGTCCCCCATCCCCTTATTTTATAGAAGAAACATCTGAGGCCCAGAGAAGGAGAGGGCAGGTAGGCTTGTGGGGTATGGAAGCATTTGTAGATAGTGAAGGGAGCATTTGTTGAGAGCCCACGGACTTTCTGGTGAGCATTAGAAGCAGACGTGGAGGAAAAGAAGGGGAGAGGCCAGTACAAGTTTCAATACATGTCTTCAAGAGGTCCCCCTTTACCTGATACAAACTGCATCTGACCTACAACTTTATAATATAACCCTTGGGATAAGAAATAAGTCTATAATTCAATAATTCAATTCATTTGGAAAGAAGAGCGTTGGACTTTGAATCGGAGTACCCGGTTTCTACTGGGGCTCTGCCCTTTACTAGCCTTGTGACCTTGGGCGAGTCCCCTTCTTTCTGGGCCTCAGTTTCTTCAGGTGTAAAAAGGAGAAGTGGACTAATGTTTAAGGTCTCTTCCAGTTCTTAATCCCATGCCTTTGTCCCAGGTCCTCTGACTTCAAATCCTTTATTCTTTCCACTTTGCTCACTGTACTGCTTCTCTAGGCATCTCCCCCTCCCTGCTCCTAGGTACCCCCATGTGACACAATGGAATGGCTGATGCACTTAGAAGTCAGAGGCCCTGGGTTCAAAATGCCAGCTCTGCCGTCTACTCTGTGTGTGACACAGCTGAGTCAGTCACCTTGCCTTGGTGGTCCTGCCCTCTTTGAAAAGGAGGGAGTTGAACCAGATGATTGGTGAGGCTCCTTTTAGCTGCATAATCTTTAATCTTATGGCCCTTTTCCTAGTGGAAGCCCTTGGGTTGGGAAAGCCAGGTGCAGTGGGTGCTCTTATGTGAAACGGTCGGCTTTGGGAAAAGGTCCTAGGTGAAGACAGATCAGTCTCTACTTCCTTCTTCCTCATTCCTGCAGCTACCCAACCTCCCTTCCCAGCCCCCTGCAAAGAACAGGGATCTTCTACAACAGCCATATAATCTCAGGGTGAAACAGCAGCCACGCAGGACTCTTCAGCAGGGCCACTCCTAGAGCCCACTGAGCAGTCCTGTCCTTTCAGCCTTTCGGCATCAACCTGATGCATTGGGTAGGGGGGGAGGCAGAATGGTGGTGACCTCAGAAGGCCCCTTTCCAGCTAGGAAGGGTTGTCAGGGCCTCTTTTCAGCAGTGACTTGCCCCTGTCATTATCTGAAGATCAGAACAGGAGCAAACTGAGTGAAAACTAAATTTAGCATTGGTTTTGGAAGTCATAAAGAGGGTGGTCCTGGTGACGAGCCAGAAGCCAACCACGGAGAAGCTACCCTTCTCATTCATTCATTCATTCATTCAGTAATCAACAGACATTAAACGCTTGTTGCAGGTTGTACATAGAGAGTTTAGGTAAACCATGAGAGCTGCCCAGATAGAGTGGTTGGCCTCTGGAAGGAATGGGACCCCTTTCATTGGAACACTTCACACAGACACTGGCTTTTGTAGATGGGATTCTTGTTTCATCATAGATAGAGCTAGGTGACTAGAGGTCCTTCCAATTTAGGGATTCTGCGAAGACCTCTGCATTCATTGGGCTCATAATGCAAACAGCACTGAATCTGAAGTCTGAGGAACTGGTTCAAATCCTGGCTGTGTGATGTCAGGCAAGTCACTTAACTACTCTGGGCTTTGGTTCTTCCTCTATAAAATAAGGAAGTTGGACTAGATTGAGGGTTCTTGACCTGTGTGTGTGTATGTGTGTGTGTGTGTGTGTGTGTGTGTGTGTGATGGACCCCTTTGGCAGGCTGGCAAAGCCTATGGACCCTTCTGAGAATAATGTTTTTAAATACCCCAAACAAAATACACAGGATTGCAGAGAAAACCAATTATATTAAACTGGTAATATTTTTCCCATCCAAGTTCATGGACCCCTTGGGGGTCTGATAGAAGTCTGGGGATCCCAGGTTAAGAACAATTGGACAAGATGGTCTCTAAGATCACATAAGATACGAACACAGATATGTCTATTAAACGTGACATTATGTAAGTATTGTGGAGAAGTACAGAACATGTGCTAAATGAGGTCCAAGCATAGATAAAAATGGACAGATGCTTGGTACCATGAAATTCAGATGCTCCCACAGAAAACCTAGATGTGACAGTTCCAGAGTGGCAACTTTCCTTTAGGGAAATGGTAAAACTGGTCCACAACCTCATCAGCAAATCCAAAGGCACACTGATTCTAATTCTGGCAACCTGCGTTGGTAATGGGGGAAGATTCAGTGGTGAACTGACAGGGAGTTTCCCTTGGCACAATGTGTCTGTTGTGGGGGATGGGCTGGGGAAGGACTGGCTCTGTGACTATAATGGTCTCAACCAGATTGCCAGGATGGTGTTTAACCTGTTTAGAGGAACAAAACAGGTTAAGTGTCCTCGTTTACATACTAACCCTAGATGAAACTAATTCCAAATCTTCGTTCCCTTCTTTTTTGGCAGGTGCCCCAAAGATCTCTCCTGGGCAAGCCTATGTAACAGGATTGGATAAGAGTACCCATAAATAATATTGGACACACACACACACACACACACACACACACACACACACACACATACACATAGAGTTAATTTGGAGGTCTGTCAATGAGGTCTGACAGAACTAATTTCATTGCCTACTTTTGGTGTGAGGCATACTGATTTAGCTGTTATATGAGTAATTACTGGGTATCAGTCCAGGGAAGGTCTCCTCCAACAGATGGACTTGGTTCAAGTTTGGGTGTTGATCTATAATAGTTGTTTCTTTGTTTTATTGCCTCCATGTTGGAAGAGCAGAATCTGGTTTAAGTCACTAAGGATACCCAGCCCTTTATAAGCATCAGACTGTCAAAGCACTAAACATGGAATAGCTTTATTAGCAGCACGTAAGGAACAGGCACCTACTTACTGCCTTTCCTTCCATGGTGCGGCACTCATAGCCCTCGGGTTAGCTTCCAAACCTTCTGATAGTGAATATATCGGCCCCCTGTCTATTTCCTAGTATCCCAAGCACACACACCCCCCCTTGGAATTGCACTCATCCATTCCCTTTTGGAACTGCTCCTGCAATGGTGAAAGTTGGACAAGAAATTTTCCCAGGCAAACTTTAATACCTGCCCTGTCTTTCCCATTACTTATGGGGACACCCCACAGGAGTGGGAGCTTCTGACAAGTCTTTCAATAGAGCAGAATTTGTGTTAGTAATTGTTTAGACATTTCTAGCTAAGAATCACAGGTTAGAGTTGGAAGGTACTTAGAGATCATTTAGCGCCCCCTCCCAAAGCCGCCCCCATCTCCACACATCACATATGCTCTAAAAATGTCAGCTCTGCATGAGTCCCTTTGGAAGGTGAGAAGCCGACCAGGAAGCTTGAGAAGAGAGAGCTGGGAATTGTGAAGACAGTGTTTGGATTGTGCCTTATAATGACATCAAAGAGTGAGGTGGTGGGTTGCTTGGCTAAGTTTGGAGTGTGAAAGCCTCAGCTGTACAGGACTTAAGAGAGACAGTGAACTGGGGTAGGATGTTAGTCGGAATGCTAATGTCCCTGTAGTGCAGTGTAAGCCAGCATGGATCAGCTTCTGTCTCACACAATGTATTGGAATCATGGAGTCCTGGGTTTCTTTTTGCCTGCGCCATACCAGTCAGACTATAAGAAAAAAAAAAAAGACAAATTCAGAAATAACCCATTAAGAGGAGGTCACTAAAAGGGAATATAAAAGAAAAATTATCCTCCCAGGCTGTATGGTGCCTGAACTTTCTTTTTTAAAATGTAAATAGCATTTTATTTTTTAAAATTACATGTAAAGGCAATTTTCAACATTCATTTTTTATAAGATTTTGAGTTCCAAATTTTCCTCCCTTTCTCGCTCCCCAAGACAGTAAGAAATCTGATGTAGGTTATACATGTGAAATTGTATAAAACATTATTTCCACATTAGTCATATTGTAAAAGAAAAAACAGAACAAAAGGAAAAAAAACCATACACACACACAAAATAATTTTTTCTCACACACAGTCATTTTCCTCAAAAATGTTTGGTGGTTCCCTATTGCCAACAACATAAAGCTCCAGCTTCTTTGCACTGCATTCAAGACCCTCCCAATCTAGTGCTACCCAACTTTCTCCACTTTGTATCATATGGCTCCTCTCTATGCCCTCCACCCTTTAGCCAAATTATATGTGACTCTTGTGTCTTAAATGTGAGCTATATCTCTCACTTCCCTGTTAAAGACTTACCCTAAACTCAGTCAATTTCCAAACTGCAGATCTGTTTGCAGCCTTCAATCCCCATGCACTTTTCCCCAGACAAGTGATGGCTTAGGCCTATGCCATTCAGATATACCATCTTTTAGAGATATTAATTGTTTCCTAGATATTGGAATTGTTCCAATGGGAAGACTCTAATACCTTATTCTCCCCACGCTTTCTGAATCAAGGTTCATCTCAGGGGAAAATAACACCCTGGGAATCCATACTTGGATACCCATAAACGACTTAACACAATACATTCACTCCACTTAGAGCCAGGCTATTAATCCCTATGTCCTCAATAGATCTAAACACCTTCCCTCACACAAAACAAACAAACAAACAAACAAAAAAAACCCCAGGGGCTGATTTCCTCCTTGCTGAACTACCCCATTGATAATCAATTTTAGAAGATTTTCCTCACCTTTCTTTTATCACTCAGGGAGTAATGAACAATTACTGGTATCTGCACTCCTCCTAGTCTTGGGTACATAGTAAGTACTTTATCCCTCCATCCTATGCCATCACTTTTTAGGCCAGCTGTCTTCCCTCTCCTTCCCTTGGTGAATGCCTATCCAACCCAAATGCCACCTCCAGGAAACCCTCCTTGTCCCCTCTTGTTGGCAATGACCTTCTCCTTGGAAGCCCCCTTACCTCTTCACATCTCTGTAATGCACTTCTCATGTTGTTTTCAATAATAAAGTTATCTATTTGTGTCTTGCATCTATACAAGACTGTGAGTTCCATAAGGGCAGGGGCTATATTTTAAATCTAAATTTCATATCTCTCCCAGCCCAGTGCTATACACCCAGTAAGCACTTAATAAAGGCTTGTTAAATTAATAATGTGTAATTTCCAGAAAATATTCCTGGAGATGAACTTTTCTAAGGCCAGTAAGCACTTAATAAATGACTGTGTAATTTCCATAAAATATTCCCAGAGATGAACTTTTCTAAGGCCAATTCACCCACTCTATTACATCCAGGTAGATATACCTTAAAAAGTCTAAAAGCTGGAGACATTTACAGCAGCTGACACGGCTGACATCAGGGCACATCAAGGCACTGACATCGTGTAGAATAAATGTTCAATTTATGTTCCCAGGTTTACAAATTGGAGCTCCATGATGCAGGAAGTAGGTAATGGGGCCTGGCCTCTATGGATTTCACAGAGTTCTGCCAAATCTTAATTAACAGAATGGCAGGATGTCTGTAAGGAGCTGTGGAAGGAGTCAGGGACAAGAAGACATGGGGAATTCATGAAGAACTGAAATACCGGTGGATGAGAGAATGACTCTGCACCCCCAGAATGGGTGCCAGCACTCGGGTGAGGTCATGTGGCTGCCAGCTGGGCACCCAGGAGAATGGGATGGAGGCCTCAGAGTCGGAGCTTCTGGGCTCCTCTCCACCAGGATTCCGTTACAGTCACCATCCATCAATCAGTGCTGCTGGGAATCTACTGTTTGCAAGGCATTGTGCTAGGTGTTGTTAGAGGAAAGCTAAAAGAAATTTCATGAAAGGTCCTCTCTCCCCTATTCTACTACTCACCTTCCCTCTCTCTCAGGTTATTTATCCTAACAGAATGTAGACTCCATGGGGGCAAGGATTGTTTTTTGTCTTTGTCTTCCTTGATGCCTAGCACATAGTACTCAATACACGTTTGTTGATTGATATCTCTATCTTAAATCTCTCTCTCTCTCTCTCTCTCTCTCTCTCTCTCTCTCTCTCTCTCTCTCTCTCTCTCTCTCTCTCTCATTTTTCTCACTATCTCTACTACATCTGCAAAGTGAAAGAATCAGATTCAAAAACCTCCAAGGCCCCTTCTAGCTCTAAATCTAAGATTTGGGCACCCACAGGTTTGAGGTTCTAAGGGATCTTGGAGGTTGTTGAGTCCTACCCCCTCCTCACTTTGCAGATGAGAAAATTGAATCACAGAAAGACCAAGTGATTTGCTCAGTATCTCAGGTGGGATTCAAAGCCAAGCCCTCCTAATTCCAGGTCCAGCACTCTATGACTTTATCACCTTTACCTAGGGGGAGAGAGAGAGAGGGAGAGGGAGAGAGAGAGAGAGAGAGAGAGAGAGAGAGAGAGAGAGAGAGAGAGAGAGAGAGAGAGAGAGAGGGAAAGAGAGAGAAGGAGGAGGAGGAAGAGGAGGAGGAGGAAGAGGAGGAGGAGGAGGAGGAGAAGAAAAAGATGATGGTGGTGGTGGTGGTGGTGAAGGAGAAGAAGAAACAGGAGGAGAAGAAAGAGAAGAAAGGAGGAGAAGATGATGAACAAGGAGAAGAAGAAATAAGAGAAGGAAGAGAAAAAAGGAGGAGGAGGAGGAAGAGAAGAAGGAGAAGAAAAGGAAAGAAGGAAGAAAGAAAGGATCTATAGATCTACTATGTCTCCAGAGACCTCCTTATATTTAGGCTTTTCTGAATGACTCAGTGTCATACCTATGAGCATCAGTTATAGCATTGGGCAGCACCTTCAAGGGCTTTTGAGGTATTGGGAAGTTGTATGTCCTTGTGTTAAATGACCCCGCCTCCTGGGATCTTGTATCTGTATTTGCAGCTTTTCTGTCTCCTCTCTTTCCACCTAGTTGTTAGCCATCACATAGAATCATGGAACTTCAGATCTGGAAGAGCTCTCAGGATGTAACTGAGGCAGAATCTCTTCTAAAACCTGCCTGACACATCCTCATTCAGTCTCTGCTTGAAGATCTCTGGGTCAGCTTTCAGGGTTAAGAAGTTCTTTCTCATAGTCAAGGAAGCCTGCCTCTCTCTAATTTCTATCCACTGGTCTTGGTTTGTAGGATCACAAGACCAGAGGATCTCAGAGCTAACCCTAGAGGTCTAGGGCCACTTTTTAATTTTACAGGGAAGGGCTTTGCTCCATTCACACAGTGGTAACTAACAGGACCATGGATGCCCTAAACCTGCTGCTTTTCCCATTGTCGTCTGAAGTCCTACAAAATAAACTTCATCCCTTCAGGTATTCAAATCTAGCAGTCACCTCTCTCTCTTACCCCTTCCCAAGTGTTCTCCAGGGTAACATTCCTAGCACTCCCAACAGACCCCTGGTGCTATGCTTCTGTACCAATATACTCCCTCTCCCTAGACCTCAGGGTGTAGGGGTGACCTTCACCCCCATACTTGTCATGAATGGAGTAAAGAATGCCAAATACTCTTGCCCCCATTTTACAAATATTGAAACTGAGGCCCAGAGAAAGGACATGACTTGCTCCAGGTAACAGAGCCAGGTTCAAACCCAGGTTCTTTGATACCAAATCCAGAGCTTTTTCCTTTTTTTTTTTTTTTGGCTAGGCAGTGGGGTTAAGTGACTTGCCCAGTGTCACACAGGTAGTAAGTGTCAAGTGTCTGAGGCTGGACTTGAGCTCAGGTCCTCCTGACTCCAAGGCCAGAGTTCTATCCACTGGGCCACCTAGCTGCCCCCAGAGCTTTTTCTATGATATTATTCAATCTCTTTGAGCCATTGAGGCCCAAACTGGGGCTCCCAACACTCGGCTAACTAATTTGATATAGAACAGAGGCTGAGAAGAGCAATAAGGCTTTCCCTACCTCCTAAGGATAACTTAGTCTTATGGGGAAACTCTTACGGAACATCTAGGCTATTGGAGAAGCAGAACAAGGCCATAGACAATGAATATTGAGGTAGGAGACAATAGAACATGAGAAACCAGGGAGACCATAGATCACAGTCCAAGAACAAACTGCCTTGTTCTGTGACCTTAGACTAGTCATTTCCCATTTGTCTCCTCTAAAACAACAAAATTAAAGGATCATATTGGATGGTCACCAAGGTCCCTTTTATTTATTTATTTTTTTAAAGGTTCCTTTTAGAATCAACATTTTACGATTGAATAGTGGGATTGGACCTGGAAGCCTTCCTAGAGGAAGTGAGGCTGCAGTACAGAAAGGAGAGGTCATTTCAGGCCAAGGGCCTTGGAACACCCAGCCCCTTTGACAGAGCAGATATTGGGGGTGGAAAGGTGAGGGGCTAGGCACTGACCAGTGGCATGGATAGATTGACAGGAAGGTCATGATGAGTCTGCCCTGACTCATCAAAGTCACAGCAGACCTGGGGAAGGGTCTAAACCTCAAACATGGCCCCCAGCTGCAAGTCAGACGACCTGAGACTGCTTGTCCAGTTACATTCTACTTACCTGTGTGATCTTGGGTAAGTCACCACTCTCTGTTTGGTTCTTTGTGAAATAAGGGGTTTGGGTTATATATCTTGGTGCCGTCCAGTTCTAAATTCTATGCTATAATTCCACTAAAGCCTTCTCTCCCAGAACCTGCAATCTCCTTCTCACCCCATACCCACATCCCCCGCCCCTGAAAAATCCCTGAGGCTCTGCCCTGGCCTCTCCTGCAGCCAGGCTGTGACTGGCAGCTTCCTAACCAACCCCCTCTCTGCAGAGCTGAGCTGGGTGAACACCAGTTCTCTGCAGCCTGGGCTCCACTCACAGCTCAGCTCAGCTTCCTCTTTGGGCTGGGAGGGAGTGGGGACCCAGGGGCCAGACACACCCCTTGCCTAGGGTCCCCAGAGCCCTACTGGACCCACTGCTGGACAGACAGACACAGTCATCTCTAGTGCCAGCGCACCCCCCCTCCCAGGGGCTCAGCCCGGCCCTGCTGGACCCACAGCTGGACAGAGGGACAGAGGAACAGACGGACACCCAGGTGCCAACTCCCCCCCCATTTCCTGGGCTCAGCACTGTTTGCTCCCCTCCCCTTCCCCTCACCCCGCTTGTGGCTCCCCTGGGATGCTCTCTGGGGACTGTGCCAAGGGGGCACCAGCAGCTTTCTCAAGGTCAGTGCCAAGGCAATGCATGCCCTTGCTAGACTAGAAGCCCTTCTAGCTCTTTGGGTGTCGGGGACCTGCAGGCTGGGAGGGGGACTCAGGAGAAACAAACTAGGAACCCCAGTATCTATCCCCCTTCCCCATCCCACAATATGCGTCCTATCTGTAACGCAACCAAGTCTGGGGCAGAAGCAGGCTGGGAGGCTGTAAGGGCAGGGGCAGCTGCGGCAAGGGGGTGTCTTGGATCTGGTGCCCAGGTCCCCAAGATGGAACATCCACATACCCCTTCCTTCAGTGTCCCTTCAGTCCCTACAATCAGTCTGGATGAGGGCCAGGGCGGCGGGGGAGGGGGCATTATCGATGGTGGCCCCTACACACACCCACGCATACACTTCCCAAGACCCTTGCAGGAATGCCGTGGCTGCCTGGGGCCCTTAGGAAGCTAAAATTGGAAAGTGCCGTGTGGGAGGCAGCTGACAAAGCTATTTCTCTCGCCTTACTTCTCAGTTCCAATTTCAGTCACTTACTCCATTAGCACTGTCCCCCAGGGGCCCTAGGACCTCCTATGGTCAATGGGAAGGCATCTCCAGGAGGGGGGGGGGCACAGGGCTTGAGAGTTGAAAGAGATCTTAGAGATCACCTACTTCAATGCCCTCATTTTTCAGACGAGGAAACTGAGGCCCAGAGAAGGGGGAGTGACTTACCCAAGGTCATAAAGCTAGTAAGTGGCAGAGTCCAAGGCCCTTTCCATTTTGCAGAGTGTCCCAAGTCTTGGTTTGGGTTTAAGCTATCACTATTTATAGACTCTACTGCATTCCCCTGATAGGAGTGGGAGAGCTGGCCCAGGATCTTAAAAGGAACTGGGAGACCTGGACTCACTCTCTCTCTCTCTCTCTCTCTCTCTCTCTCTCTCTCTCTCTCTCTCTCTCTTCTTTCTCTCTCTCTCTCTGTATGTGTGTGTGTGTGTGTGTGTGTGTGTGTATCCCTAGCTCCATCACTGACTTGCTGTGTGACTGTGAGAAAGTCCTTCCACCTCTCTGGGCTCCAATCTCTTCCTCTGTAAAATGGGGTTATAGACATATCTCTAATGGATTTTTCTAAATAAAACATCAAGGAGAAACAGTGTAATGCCTCTCCAGGCCTTGGGAGGCAGGGAAGAGAGGGTGACGGAAACCTCATTCTGTAGGAGTAGATCAGATTCATGACTCCCTCCAACTACACAGAAGAGCAAGTGTGTGTATGTTTATGTCCATTTTACAGATGAGGAAACAGAGTCAGAGAAAGAAGTGAGCTTTCTAAGGTGACACAGTAAGTAAACAGCACAGTGGGGATTCAACTCTGTGTCCTCCCATCTTGGAATTCAATGCAAAGGGTAGGGACTTTGTCATTGTGGTCATAGCCACACTGGCCTCTCCGCTGACCTCATCTTGCAAGGAGCTACTTGGAAGTGTTCTTGCTGATATCTACAGAGTTCTACCCAGGGAAGGTCCAGCTCAGCAGTCTCAAGAGCCTTGCTTCTGACCTTTCAGTCATTGTCCCAGGAAAGCCTTGTCGGGAATCCACTTGGAGTCATTGTAGAACTGGGCTCCATCCCTTAGGGAGTCCCAAGCTGGTACCATGGAGCCCAAGGCAACTAAGGAGAGAGAGAAGGAGGGAAAGTGGTATAGAGGAAGACAAACAGGAGAAAAGGAAAGCAGGGAAGGAGAAAAGGAGAGACGAGGAAGGTTGGATGGAAGGGGGAGAGGGAGGACAGACAAATGGAGGGAAGGAAGAGAAGGAAGAAATGGGGGAAGAAAGAGACAGAGAGAGAAGGCTTAGAGGGAGGGAGAAAGGGAAAGGAAGATATAAACAGAGAGAAGGAAGGAAGGAAGGAAGGAAGAGAAGAGAGGGAAATAGATAAAGAGGGAGGGAGAGGAGGAAGGAGGAAATCTAGGACCCTTACAAAGTATGTTATTAGAAAAGGGCAAACTCCTGAAGGCAGCAATGATATGGATGAGGGGAGAGAGCTCTCAGGAAGCCATCCAATAATCCACAACCACCCCCTTGGGCCTTGGCTGTAGAGACCCAGTCAGTATAGCAGAGGGATACAGTTACCCCCATGGAAGAAGCCATAACCTCAGCATTGTGAGATTCATGGTTCAAGTCCTAGCTCAGCCAATAACTCACCCCCACCTGGACAAGTAGTCCCTTCCCCCATGCTGGCCCTCAGTTTCCCCATGTGTACAATGAGGGAGGTAGGCCAGACTGTCTCCAAGGTTCTGTCAGTGCATCAAAAGTTAGAAGGGACCCCCTAGAGCATCTAGTCCAACCGAAGAGGAATCTTCTCAACACCCCCAGCAAGGGGTCATCCAGCTTCTGACTGAGGACCTCCAGGGATGGGGAACTAACCACCTCCAGAAGCAGCCTATTCCAGCTCTAATTATGAAGAAGTATTTTTCCCTATATACAGCTGAAATCTGCTTCGTGAGAGGGAATCACAGAGGAGGGTAGAGGTTCAGTGAAGGGCAGGGGTGGAGATAGGTTAAGTGAGGTGATGGGAGCTAAGTGAAGAAACTCCAAACTTGATAAGGGAATGCAGCTCGTTTCTGGGGATGAAGACTCAGTGAGGAGAGAGGGGCTCGGTGAGGATGGGGATGGGGGCTCACTGATGGCTAAGGGATGGGGGGAGGGGGTTGGGCTCAGTGAGAGGGATGGGGACTCTATAAGAAGAGTAGTATGGTATAGAGGAAAGAACTTTGGCTTGCCTTGGGATCTCAGCTCTGCCACTTACTTCTGCAATCTTTTGTAGGTCACTTCCTCTATCTGATGCCTCAGTTTCCCCACTCTCAAATAAGAAGGTTGGACTACATGATCTAAGGTTTTTTTCCAGCTCCCAAACATATGATCCTGACCCCTTGGGAAGCCCCAACAAGCACAGCTGTTACCCCAGTCGCCCCTGTAGCCCAGGAGGAAAGTGGGGTATTTCCACATGCCCCAGATGAGGTGGTCCTTTAATAATTGCTTAGAGAAATGGAGATTGAAGGCCCTTGAGGGCCCCTCTTTTTTGGGGGGAGGGAGAGGCACAAAGTCATTTAACCTCTTCAAGTCTGTTCTTTCAGCTATAAAATGAATATATTACTATAGTAATATCATATATATTTATATATATCATAGGATAGTACTATACTGTGTTGTGGGAAAAACACTTGGCTTGGAGTCAAGAGACTTGGATTCGAGTCCTAGTCTGATGACTTATTAACTGTGTGACCTTGGGTAAGTTACCTGCCTGACCTTTCTAGACGTGGGGTTTCTTATCTGTAAAATGAGGTGGGCAAGACTAGATGATGCCTAAGGGTTCTTTTGGGGTCCTCTGCCCTGAGGAGTGGATGGGGAAAGGAAAGGGGCCGTTTCTTCAGTGTGCCCACCCTGAGGAGTTGGACAGCCCCGGCGAGGCCCCTGACAGGAGAGAGAGAGAGAGAGATAAGCTGGCCTTACTCCACCTCCCTTCCCTTTTCAGGAACCTGAGCCCTGGGCCGAGGTGGCAGAGCCAGGCCAGTAACCGGAGCAGGCTGGCCCAGGAACCAGCCTCCTGAAAAGGAGGTAGCAGGAGGGGCCGGGCCTTGCTCACCCTCTGAGCCCACTCTAGGGCTCCTGGGAGACCCGGACCTAGGCAAGGTAAGGACCCTCTCCCCTGTGCTAGGTGGAAAGAGGAGAGGTGCTCCCTAGGCCCTGGGAGCCAGGGGAAGTTCATGGGGAGACAAGGTTGGAGGGGATAGACGAGGGTAATGACACCCATGGATATAGATGTTTGGGGGCCAAAGGGTGCAAGTCAGAGCCCCTGACTGGGAATCTAGAGATCTGGGTTCTCGTCCTCACTCACTGGGTCAACTTGAGCCTCAGTTTCCTTATTTGTAAAATAGGGCCAGTTAGTCCTGCCCTGCCTCCTTCATAGGATTACTGTGTGAGTCTAATACGAATCCAAGGCCATTACCAATAGGAAAATGACTTGAAAAAATAGTAAATGAAGAATTCGCACTAATATTCTTTCAGTGAGACTGACTCCATGCAAGAAGTGTTAGTCTTTCTACCTCCTCAGTCCAGAGGTTTCCAGAGGGGCAGGGCTGGGTCGTGCCTTCAGATGGAGGGAGGGAGTTTGCTTGAGGACAGATGCTATGGTTCCATCTCTCAAACCAGGGATTCCCTGAGGACAGGGTCTGTGTGGCTCCCAGGATTCCCAAGGTAGAACATTGACTTTCCCCAAGACAGGCAGATGGACTGAAAGGCAGGATGAGATGTAGGCGGGGCGCCAATGAGACCACATTAGGGCTACCTTGCTTTGGCTCTCGGCACAAAAGAGTAGCTAACCTGGTCGGGTCCTCTTTTCCAGCTCCAGGGCCCCACTGGTCCCTTTCCTCTAGTATGGGCATCAAGACTTCACTGCCCCCTCCTGAGCTGGCCATCTATGCCTTGGTTCTTGTGTGTGCCCTGGGCTATGCTGGCAATGGGCTCTTTGAGGCATCTCGAGGTAAGCCCCTATGCTGGAAAAAGGGATTCTTTGACATCTTTGGGGGTTTTGGGGGGAGTGGGGAGGAAGGGGAGACTTAAGGGTGGATGCAGGTGGAGAGAGAGAGAGAGAGAGATCCTCATTCCTTTGGCATTCTGAATCAGAAGCCTTGGTTTCAAATCTCTATTGCGATGCCATCTAGTTGTGTAAGCTTGGGCAAATCACTCCTCTCAAGGCCTCAGTTTCTTCATCCATAAAATGCACAGGACAACCTTTGTACCACCTTGTCTCATGACCTATTGTGAAGAAAGTGCTTTATAAGCCTTAGAGCCCCATGGAAATTTAAGTTAATATTTACACCAGTGTATTCCTTTTTCTGCTTTTGCCACTTACTATCGTATAACCTGGGGCACAACACTTCTAAATCTCTGTTACCCCATCTACACAAGATGGATAATCAGATGTACACTCCTTCCCTCATAGGATAGTTATAGGAGAAAGCACATTGTAATGTACTCCATTGGTATTAGTATGAAGAGGAAGGGGAGGGGGACAGGGGAAATAGGGAGGAGAAGGAAGAAGAGATGGAAGAGAAGGAGAAAGAGGAGAAGGAGGAGAAAGAGGAAGAGAAGAAGGAAAAGGAGGAAGAGAAAGAGGAGGAAGAGAAGGAAGAAGAGAAAGAGGAGGAGGAGGAGAAAGAGGAAGAGAAAGAAAAGGAGGAAGAGAAGGAGGAGGAAAAGGCAAAGGAGGAGGAGGAAGAAGAGGAGGAGGAAGAGGAGGAGAAGAAAGAGGAAGAGGAGGAAAAGGAGAAAGAGGAGGAGGGGAAGGAGGAGGAAGAGAAGGAGAGGAGGAAGAGGAGGGTGAGATGAAATGGAGGTGGGATACAAAAGAGGGAGAGAGAGAGAGGGAAGTCCCATCCTAGCATCAGGGGTTGAGGTGTGAGGAGGCAGTATTGGAAATGTTTCCTAGGGAGGAAAGGCCACCTGAGATCACTCCCAGAGCTGGACCTGAATGATACAAAGAGCTTGGGGGTACAGATGGAGCTGTTCACCAGGCACACACACAGACATCAATAGGCAGCACAGTGGAAAGAGAGCCAGGCTTGGAGCCAGGAAGACCTGAATTCAAATCTGGCCTCAGACACTTACTAGCTGTGTGATCCTGGACAAGACACTTAGCTTCTGTCTAGCTCAGTTCCCTTACCTGTAAAATAGGGATAATGATAGCACCTGCTTTCCAGGGTTGCTGTGAGAATCAGATGAGAAATAATTGTAAAGTGTTTAGCTCAGTTCCGGGCACATGCGCTATTTTTGTTTAGTCATTTTCAGTCGTGTCCAATTCTTAATGGCCCCATTTGGGAAAGATATAGGAGTAGTTTGCCGTTTCCTTCTCTAGCTGATTTTACAGATGAGGAAACTGAGGCAAACAGGGTGAAGTGACTTGCCCAGGGTCACACAGCTAATAAGTGTCTGTGTCAGTGAACTCAGGAAGATTAGTCTTCCTGATTCCCGGCCCTGCACTGTATCCACTGTGCCATCTGAGCTGCCCCCTAGCACATAGTGGCTTGGCACACTGAGACTCCTACATCTCTTTTCAGATAACATGAACAGGAAGGCCTTCAGGGAGTCGGTGAAGCCTGGATGGCATTACATTGGACGAAAGATGGTAGGTGCCCCCTCCCCATCTTTCTTTCCTAGGGGCTAATAGCATTTCCTATTTCACAGGGAGGGCTGAGAGACAGGAAGAAAATATTGCTGAGATGACCAGGCAGAAGTTAAGGCCCCCTACCTTATCACTCCATCTCTTGCTCCTTCTTGCCACTAAACCCTCAGGCCTACAAGCCCCTGATACAGTCCCCTTTCCTATGCATGACTGCCACCAGCAGGGCCTGGTGGCCTCATGTTGCACCCACTCCCTTGTCCAAGCCTGCTCTCCCCCGAGCAACCACACTCCCAACTGAAGTTGACCCAGCCTATGTTCCTTCATCTCAAGGACCCTTCTATCTGCCAATAAAATCACCCAGGCTAGTATGTCCTACTAGATCTCTTCTTTCAAGAGGATATGGATTTTAATGCAAATAATAGAATTTAGGGCCAGAAGAAACTATAAAGATTCTCTGGTCCAAACCCCTCATTTTTCTAAGGAGAATAATTGAGGCCCAGAGAGGTTCACTGACTCGCTCCAGGTCTCACAGCCAGCAAGTGTCAGAGCTGGGGGATCCTATCCTGTGTCCTCTGACTTTGAACTCAGTGGTTCCTCGCCTTCTCAAGTATGAAGACCACATTTTAACTTCAAACAATCTCTCTCTTTTTTTAATTTTTAGGCAATTGGGGTTAAGTGACTTGCCCAGGGTCACACAGCTAGTAAGTGTCAAGTGTTTGGTTTGAGGGCACAAACAATCTCTCTGAGCACCCACTTCTCACCCCCTGGGATGGTGCTTGAACTGTTAGTATTCCGCTAAGGAACCAAAAGCAGCTATGAATTCAGGAACATTTTGAAATGAATTGATAGGTCACTAATCGCAGTAACCTCTATGTGCACATGAAAATACTGCCATGTGAGACATAGCCACCCTCTGGGTCTATCCGCTTACCTATTGCACTCACTCATTTGCATCTTCTGACAGTGAGTGAAGCTTGGTTTACGTGTGGATTTATGAACCTTTTGTAATAGATCCCACAACTTCCAGAGGCCCCCATCTGTATAGCTTGGGAACCACTGCCTTAGCCCAAAACACAAATGAGTCACTACAGGCATCTATTTCACACTCACTGTGTACCAGGTTCTGTGCTAAGAGCTAAAGCACTGATGGTGGAACCCCAAGCCTGAGGGAAAATGTTTGGGAGTAGGGCAAGTGAGAAAATGTCCTGATCTCCACCCACGGGTGACCCTACTTGTTTAAGCAACCTCAGACTAATCCTCTTTGACCCACCAGTGGTGTTAATCTACCCCGCACAAAAGGAAGCCAATGCCGTCCCCTTCAAATCCCAAAAAATGAGAAACGAGTGCATTCCATATGCTGGGGGCACCAAGCCCAACTACCCGCCATCCTGAAGGGAGAGTTCTAGGACCTCTCAACTTTCTTTGTTCAGCCGTTTCAGTCATGTCTGACTCTTTGTGACCCCACTTGGGGTTTTCTTGGCAAAGACACAGGAGTGGTTTTCCATTTCCTTCTCCAGCTCATTTTACAGATGAGGAAACTGAGGCAAGCAGGGTTAAGTGACTTGCCCAGGGTCACACAGCTAGTAAGTGTCTGAGGTTGCATTTAAACTCATGAAGATGAGTCTTCCCGACTCCCAGCCCCACACTCTATCTACTATGCCACCTAGCCACTCTAGTTCAGTCTTCTCTCCCTCCACCAGGATGTAGCAGATTTCGAGTGGGTAATGTGGTTCACCTCCTTCCGTAACATCATCATCTTTGCCCTCTCCGGTCACGTGCTCTTTGCCAAGATCTGCTCCATGATTGCCCCACAGGTGAGTTGGGGTTCCTCCAAAAGTAGATTCGCCTCATCTATCCCCTTGCCTATCCTATACATGTCCCCCTTATGGCCTCACATGGCCCAGACTCTGGCAGGAAGTCCTTCCCCAAACTTAGGATCATTGAACTATAAGCTCCTTGAGGGCAGGAACTATTTTGTTTCTAACCCTGTACCCCCTCAGTGCCTAGTTTTGTGTCTAGTTCATAACAAGCAATTAATGAATGCTTATGGAATTGAACTGAGCAGCATGTCAGAGCTGGAAGGGACCTTAGATCATAGAATATCAGAACTGAATGAATCCTTAGAGATCATCTGGTCTAAATCCATTTTACAGGTGTGGAAACTCAGGCCCAGGAAGGAGAAATGACTTACCTAAGGTCACACAGGACATTCTCCTAGACGGGTGGGACTCAGGTCTCCTGACTCCCCGCCTAGAGCTAGCTAGCCAGCTCCCTCAAAGCACCCCGTGTCCTCACTGCCTCTACCTCCACTTTGTCTTTCTCTTCCCACAGTTCCGCTCATGGATGTATGCAGTGTACGGGGCCTTAGCTGTGCTGGGGACCATGGGCCCCTCCTACATGCTGCTCCTGTTGGCCCATTGCCTGGGTCTCTACATGGTTTCCCTGCTTAAGCAGCGGTGGCTCTGCTTTACCCTGGGGCTTGCCAGTCTGGCCTCTTTCAAGCTGGAGCCAGCCAATTCATGGCAGGTGCACCTGAGATGGGGCAAGGTTGGGGAAGGGAGGAGAAAAGGGGGGCCACGGGTGGCCAAGGAAGAGTCCCAGGCCTTAGAGCTGGAAGGGAATGCAGATATGCTCTAGTCCAAACCTCTCATTTTACGAAGGAGGAAAGGGTCAGTCACTGGCCCAAGGTCACACAGCTAGTAAGTGGCAGAGCTGAGATTTGTGCCTTTCCTTCTCCTGATGCCTCTGCAAATGCTCCCTGTCCTTTCAGGTCCAGTTCAACCCCCCTCCTCTTCCTCCTGCCCCATATGAAGCTGGCCTAGCCAATGCTTCCCTCCAGCCCTTAGAGCTGGGGCCCTGAGTTAACCCTTGGCTTCTTCACACTCTGCCCTGTTTGCAAGCCTTGTCTCTCCTAGGCTTTGAGCTCCCCGAGGGAAGGGCCTGGGTCTGTTCCTACTCTGTGTCTCCTGAGCAATGAGCTTCCTGAAGACAGGGACCAGGTTCTTTCTTTCCTTTATTCCCCCCCCTCAGTGTTGTGGCTCTTAGGTCCAGACATGAAACGACACTTACTAAAGACCTGAATGTATGAATGAATGAGTGAGCCTGCACAGGCTGAGAGAGCACCTGCTATGTTCCAGGAATTGTGCTAAGCACTTTACAGATTTGATCAGTGAGATGATACATAGGCTGGGGTGATCAGGATGGGCTTCCTGCAGGCGGTGGGCTTTGAGCTGGGCCCTAAAGGATGAGGAGTATGTGGGTAGGGGAGGGGGAAGGTGCCAAGGTGCCGCCAGTGAGCGCGGTTACTGTTCTTTCTCATCCAGAGCGGGTTTGTAACGGGCACTTTTGATCTTCAAGATGTGCTGTTTTACGGGGGCAGCGGCTTCACGATTTTCCGATGCATGAGCTTTGCCCTGGAGAACTGTGATTGGCCAGAAGGCAATTACTCTTTCCTGGACCTGCTCAAATACAACTTCTATCTCCCCTTCTTCTTCTTTGGACCCATCATGACCTTTGACAAGTTCCATGCCCAGGTAAAGGAATTGGACCTGGGGGATCATGCTCTCCCACCCCCCAAAAACCCATGAGTTCCCTTGAGAGCAGGGCTACATTCCATGCCCCCCCAACTTAGGCTAAGGGTGGGGGTATCCCTAAGGGCAGGACTGTGACTCACTGGAGTGAGGCCAGAGCCAGGTAAGCATCTCCTCCTCCCCCTACTCCCAGGTGAGCCAGCTGGAGCCTGTTCGGAGGGAGTGGGAAATGTGGCAGATCCGCACCCAGGCGGGACTCAGCCTGGCCTCCATCGTGGCGGTGGATGTGTTCTTTCATTTCTTCTACATCCTTACCATTCCTAACGACCTCAAGTTCACCAGTCGGCTCTCAGACTGGGCCCTAGGTGGGTGAGGACTAGATGTGGGATCTGGCAGGGACCAAGGGTCTTTCCCCCACGCCTGTGACTCCCCCCTCCTCCAGGGCCTAGGCTGATTTTCTCAAACAAAAGTGGCCTAGCGAAAGCATTTGTGGGTGCTGGAGAACTCTGAGCCTGTGGTAGGCCATCTACCTCCAGTGACCTGAGTAGATTTGACACTTTGGGGTAGGACATGTCCGTCCTGGAAGAGTGGGGTGGGCAATATGTCTATGTGTTTGTATGTATCTGTGTAACTGGGTATGTGTGTTTATGTGCATCAGTGTATACACATATGTCTCTGTGTATGTCTGTGTTTTTATGGGTCCGCATGTATATATTTATGTGCATATGTTAGTGTGTTTGTATGTGTCTATGAATATGTTTTATGTGCCTCTGTATATGTTTGTATGTGTCTCTATGTGCTTGTATGTTTCTTGTGTGTATATACACAGAAAAATGTGTGTGTGTATGAGAGAAAGGTGGCTGAGGCTCAATCAGAAGTAGGCAAAAGCATCCTCCAGAATTCTTTCAGAGAGGGGGGCTAATCAATTCAATTCAAAAAACTGTTATTAAGTGCCCACTTAGTGCTTTCTTCCTCTTGAAATTACTTGGCATATATTTTGCATTTCTGTATCTGGGTACTTGTATCCTTCCAGTAGGCTAGAAACTCCCCAAGAGCAGGGACTGGTTCACTTTTGTGAAAGCCTATGTAGTGTTTAATAGGCACTTACTAAATATTTCTTGAATTTGAATGGAATTGAATTATAAGGCTTTATGTGCAGTACTGGGGATACAAAGATATAAAAGATAGTTCCTGCCTTCAGGGAGCTTATACTTTAATGATATATACATGTATACATATGTGTATTCACACATACGCTGATACCTGTAATTCAAGGAAGAATGTGATGGGTAAAAAAGAGGGACCTAGACAAAGTAGTCTAGGACAAAATTTGAAGGGGAGGGATCTCTTTCAGCTTGGTAGGGAGAGGTGGAGTAGTCGAGGAAGGTTTAATAGAGTAGGTGACCCCTGAGATGACCCCTGGAGGAATGGAAGAATGTTGACAGACAGAGATGAGGAGATGTGTGTTCCAGCTATTAGGGGATGGTTGATAGCAGTGCACAGAGGCTGGAAAGGACAAGATAAGACTGGGAAATACCTCCTTGTCCACTCTGACTGGAATCTAGCATGTAAGAAGAGGAGAAGTTAGCAGGAGATAAAACCGAAGAGAAAGTTTTGAATGGTTCTAAATGCCAGGCAAATCCTTACCTATGGGCAGGGGGGAGCCATGGAAGGGTCTATCAAGTCTGAAGTCAGTTCTACCCTGTGTGCCCAGCCCTCTACGAGGCTGGACAAGGACAGAGGAACAGGTCCAGGCCTTGCCCTCAGGGAGCTTATAGGCTGGTTGAAGAGATAGGGACAGATCATGAGGGCACAGCCCTGGAAGTGTAAGAAATCGGAGCAGGATGGTGTTCTCCGTGGTTGGCACAGGTAAGGTTTAAGCCCTAACAGCTCAGATCAGACAGGTGAAAGAGGATGGAGCAGGGAGTGTGTTCCAGATAGGCCTCTAACAGGGGAACGATGTGGAGAATTGCAGACAATCACACCACATATGGAACCAGTAATAGGCCTGGCTAAGTGGTTGTGAAAGGGAAAGAAGACAGAAAAGGTGGAGTGGGATGAGACTCGGAAGGGCCTTGAATATCAACGTGAGCAGTCTGGACTTTATCCAAACCAAGAGTCTAGGCCCAAAGCACTGGTACAAAGGAGTCATGGAGGCCTGGATTCAAGTCCTGGCTGTAATTTCTTTTATGACCTTGGGCAAGTCTCTTCCCCTCCTGGCATCAGGTTCAGGCCTCATCTGCAAAATGAAGCAGGTCATTGTATCTGATCTCTGAGATCCCCTTGGCTCAGAAATGCTTCTGTGATTCTCTGATTCTCTTGACACTGTCAAGGTCTTGAGGACATGGTGTAACCCCAATTACCAGGAGGGGTGGGATAGGGTGGGCGGGGAGGGAGGAAAGGGGAATCAGAGATGCCCCCTCCCAAGAAAAAGAAGTCTCCTGACTTCAGCTGTTTTCTGGTGAGAGAGTGAGAAAGCGAGGAAAAAGGAAAGGATGTAGGGAGCCAAAGGTGGAGGCAGCTTTTCATTCTGTCCAGGGAGGGGGTCCTGGGGAGTCCTGGATACAGCCAAAATTCAAACCATCCCCTCAGGCCACTTACTCCTTCACATCTTGGGATAACCTCAGCTTCCCAACCATGCCCTCTCCCAACCCCCTCTCCTCCTCCCAAGCCAGGGGTGACGCCATCTCCTCTCCTCTTGCCCAGATAAGATTTTAGCTGTGTTTGTCCTCAAACAAAGAGCACCTTTGTGCCACTGTCTCTTCACTCCCTTGGCCTCAGCAGCATCCTCTCAACAATAACAGCTCTCATTTCTGGGGCGCTTTAGAGTTTACAAAGCACTTTGCTCAAAATAATGCTGGGAAATGGGCATATGGGAGACATCGCCCCCATTTTACAGATGAGGAAACTGAGGCCCAGAGAGGTGAAAATATTTTCCAGCATCATACAGATGATAGGTATAGGAACAGAATTCAAGCCAGTTTCCCAGGCTCCAAATCCAGAAAAACAAAACAAAACAGAAAAACTGAAGTCCAGAGAAGACATATGATTTTCGGAAGGGCACATAGGAGACTCAGGTCTCCTGACTTCTAGCCCAAGAGTTCAGAACAGGGGAGGTAATAATCCCCCCATCTTCTTCCCTTAACAGACTTCATCAGGGATACTCTGTCCAAGTTGGAGATGCTACATTTTAGGAAATATACAAGCTAAAACAAGTCCAGAAGTGACCATGATGGTGAGGCTAGGCCACATGAAAGATATCAGAAGGGAATGGGCCTGTTTTTCCAGGAGAATAGAAAACGTAGAGAGGATGTGGCACCTATCTTTAAGGATTTGAAGGGCTGTAACAAAGAAGGCTTATCCTACTGGATCCTATTGGACATTAAAAGAGGAGAACTGAACTCCAGGAGAGCAGGGACCAGAGCTTAGCTAAATTTGGTATCAGCCAGCATCCAGCAAAGTGATCTGTGCATAGTAGGTACTTAAGTGAAATAGTACTTAAGTGAAGGTACTTCAGCGAAGTTCTCTGGATGAACAAAGAAGGGCAGATTTTAGTTTCATAGCCATATAAAGAAAACCTTTCTAACACTCAAAGCTGTCTACAGATGGAATGAAGTGGTGAACAGGGCCCTGGAGGGCTTCAGATGGAGGCCACATTGCCCCTTTGGGGGGATGCTAAACACTTCTGGGACTCATGCTTAGATACAATTTGGACTACACAATCCCCTCCGTGATGCTGTGGGCCTGGGACGCCAAGGTTCTGCAGACAAACAAAGCAATTGCTAAGACTATTTGATGAGCTGGAGACCTTCAGTCACTTTCAAATATCCCTTGGTATTTTGGAGAAAAATGTGGGCAAATCGGTGAGGTCCAGCTCCCTCAGGATGCTGAGAGTCAAATGATGAGGACTGGGGCAGGACAGTCACTCATTCAATTCACAGGACTAAGGGATCATTTTTGTTTTGAAAAGTTTTAGAGATTTTCTCAATGGCCTCCTTGGAGAACTGGACCCCCAGGGTGGAAATGGGAGTGAGGGTCACAAACCCAGGGTAAAGAGGGATGGATGGGTCATGGAGTGATAGGAAGGCTCTCTTTTCGGGTTCTATAGAGGGTGACGGAGGGGGAGGGTCTGATTGGATGTAGGGCGGTGGATGTATTGACCTCCTAGGCCAGAGTGAGTGACGCAGGTCCTTGTTGGCCCCCAGCGGGCCTGGCCTACTCCAATCTGGTGTATGACTGGGTGAAGTCAGCTGTGATGTTTGGTGTTGTGAACACTGTGGCCCGTCTGGATCATCTGGACCCACCCCAGGCACCTAAGTGCATCACAGCCCTCTATGTCTTTGCAGAAACGTAAGTTTGTTCCCTCCCCGCCGCCACCACTGCCGTGGGGCACTAGAGACATCCCTATCCCCTCAGGACTCTCTGAGATTCTTCTGACCCCCCCCCCCTCCAAGAGCTCCCTACAATTCCCCTTTCCCTTCAGAATGCCTGGAGACTTTTATATCCCCTTGAAAGTCCCCTATTCCTATGAATCTCCAAGGTGGACAGAACCTTAGAGGACATCTGGCCCAATCTGGACCCAAGCAAGAACTCCTCTGCTATAGAAGAGTTCTATAGAACCCCCTGTACAGGGGCTTACTTATCCAGCTTTTGCTTAAAAGACCTCTAGTGGTAATGCACCACAGACTACCTAGGCCTACCATGTATCTCTCTGTTGCCTTATGGGTCACTCACAATTCTGATTCTTTAGGGATTATGGTATCCCATGTTTGGCAGCCATATGGCATCACTGGAAGAATATTGATGTTATGAAAGATAATTGTTTTTTGTTTCAAGGATAGCTTGAAATTTTTCAAAGTGCTAGATGCCATTTCCCAAAGGTAATCTATCCCTCTCTCTTCCTCTTCAATTCTGGGCCCAACTCTATGTCTGTTTGCAACATCCTGTTTGAGATACGTGTTGCCAAGGAACATGGATTGTCTATTCAACTGCCCATCTAAGTCTGGACATTAGGTATTACTCATCCACTTGATCTTGGTAGTGTAGACTTGATTGTACTGTGTGGACGTGGAACTCATTGAACAGGCTGTGTAGCATTCAAGGTCTTGGTGCCATCGGCACAATGTTATCTCCAATAGAGGCATCTGGAGGACTTCGCCATCCATAGAGAATCCTTGCATTCTATTTTCATCTATATTTATTCTATTTCATCTTTAGAGAATCCTCTGTGGGATATATTCCGTGGTTGTGACAAACACCTTGGGCAAGCATTGGTTCTTAACAGGATATTCTAGAATTTTACCAAGAAATGAAACAACTTAGGCTCAGTGGCCTATAATTAACAGACTCTACTCTCTTGCCTTTTTTGAAAATCAGGAATGTATTTTTCCTTCTTCAGTCTATGGTAGCTCTCCCATTCTCTACAAACTTTCTTAGTAAAATTTTATCTCCTCTTTATTGATACCCTTTATTTTTACATCCCATTCCTTTCCAAACATACCCAATAATCCATTCCTTGTGACAAAGATTTTAAAAGAAAGAGATAAAGAGCAATTCAGCACAGCCAATCAACACACCAAATGCTTTGTGATTTTTCAGATATCGCTGAGAGCAGCTCATCAATCACACCTTCAAGTTCTTTTGTCCGTGGAGCAAAGTTTGTCTGGACCCATAATTAAACCCATCATCTAGATGACCTAGATGGTTTCCTACCATCTCCTTACATATCTTGGGTTTTTGAACTCCCTCTTAGTCATCTTTCTTCTACCCTTTCTAGTCCAGAGAGTATTATTCTTGGCAGAAAAAAAAAGTAAAACAAGAGTCCAGTAGTTCTAGCATTTCTCCTTGATCTTCCTTCCCCCCCTCCCCCAACTAGCTAACAAAGCCTTTTCTGTTATCCTTATTATCATAAGTGAGCCTCAGTTTATTCTAAGCTTTGGCACTTTAATCCTTTTCTTACAGGCCAATAAGGCACTTACTGTGCACGTTCTTTATTCCCTAGCCTTGTTTCCATTTTCTGTGCCTGTCTTTAATAAAAATATCATATATACATATAAACATATTTGACACATAATATACCTAACAACCATGAACAAAAAATAAACATACAAAACAAGGCTTAAGATATTACTCCCAAATACTTAGCCTTTAACAAAGAACTATGAAATAAACTAACAAACATACAAAGAAAAAAATGTTTCCCTGGTTGTTTCCTTCCAATCCTGACCACAGGCTTGCCCCCTTTGATCCTATTTGCCTTCCTTTCTTTTCCTCTTCCTTTCTTTTCTTTTCCCATTTCTTTTCTTTCCCTTCCTTTCTCATCCTTTTTCCTTTAAATATACAGTGTTCTCATTCTACTAATCATTCAGCATTATGTCAGAAGAGTCATTCTGTATTTCCTTGTAAGTACATGTTTTTTTTAAATTGAAATGGTCATTAAGTGTCCTATACATTCAAACAGATCTCTTTAGAGAACGCCACCTTTTCCTCTGGAATTATTTATCTTCATGTCTTTAGAATTCACTTTTGAGAAATGCCTACCCATCCTGAAATGACTTCCCCTGAAGAATTTTAACCAATGGGAGTCTCCTTATTCTTTCTCTAAATTTTGCTTTCCAAAAATCTAGCCTACGTCTTAATGAGTGCTTCAAGGTTTTTGAAACACTTTATCTACATTATTGAATTTAATGCTCACAAGAAACCCTGTGAGATAAATGTGACTGACACTGTGTCTTCCATTTCACAGATAAGAAAGCTGAGGCTCAGAGGGATTAAGTGATACAGTCCAGGGGTGGGTAACTTGTGGCCTTGAGACTACCTTTGGCCCTCTAGGTCCTCAAGGGTGGCCCTTTGAATTCAGTCTTGGGCACTTGAGGACCTAGAGGGCCACATGTAGCCTCGAGGCCACAGGTTACCCACCTCTGCTAGTCACATAGCAAGTAAATATAAGAAGCAGGGTTTGAATTTAGGTCCTCCTGACTCCAAATCCAACATGTTTGCCACTACCCCATACTGCTTCTCATAGACCTCCCAAATTATGCCCATATCACCTCTCCTCGATCATTAGTTCTAAGATCGAGGAATTACTTCACCTCAAATGTTCCCATTATTTCTACTTCCTTGATGGTCATGCTCAGATCCAGCATAGCCACTTCTCTTATTGCTTCCTCCACCATGGGAAAGATAAAATTAGCATCAAGTCAAATCCAGACATTTTTAGCTGCTGTGTTTCTGCAAGAGAGATCTCCTGCCAATGTGTGGATGGTGGAAAGTCGCCTAACACTGCTATATCATGCCTCCTGTATGATGTGATCCATATTAAACTTCTCACCTCTCTCCATCTTCTGTCAAAATGGCACATACCGTGCTACCACAATATCACCTCCATTTTTCCTCCTCTTTAATCTTCACCCAAAACACGGAGTCTGCCTCAGGGCTCCCTGAAAATTTCCTGTCCTCCTTAGGATGCTCTTAAATACCCCTTTGCCCTCAGATTCCCCTGACACACTCCTGTCTCCTCAGGACTCCCTCTCTGACATACCCCTGTGCTCTCATACCTTCCTGAAATGCTTCTGTCCCTTGAGGCCTTCCAAAGGCACCCCTTTATTCTCAGAGCTCCCTGAGACACTCCTATGTCCCCTGAGTCTCCTTGGGAAACCCCTCCAAGGGTGGGGAATCTGTGGCCTCGAGGCTACATTTGGCGGTCTAGGTCCTCAAGGGCAGCCCTTTGATGGAATCCACACTTCACAGAACAAATCCCCTTAATAAAAGGATTTGTTCTGTAAAACTTGGACTCAGTCAAAAGGCCGCACCCAAGGATCTAGAAGGCCCTATGTGGTTTATACCCATAGAGGTCTCTGAGATGTCCCTGCCCCTTCAGGGCTTCCTGAGACACTCTGGTCTCCCCAGAATTCCTCGAATATCTCTGTCCCCTCAGCACTCCCTGAGAGACACCTCTGTCTCCTGAGGTTCCCTTGTTGCCTGAGAAACCCCTGTCCTCAGACCCCTCTGAGATACCCCCAGTCCCTTCAGAGTATCCAGAGTCCCCTTCCCCTCAGGGCTCCCTGAGATACACTTGTGCTCCCACAGCTCACTGGGATACATCTCTGTCCCCTTGGGGCTCTCTGAGATACCCCCACCTCCCTGGGGCTTCATAGCGCCCACATCCTTCCTCCAGCAGTATTTCTTCTCTACATCCTAGGCACTTTGACCGTGGGATCAATGACTGGCTATGCAAGTGAGTGTCTCCCACCCTCAGGTGTTGTCTGTCCTCTGGGTGGGTGGGGAGACCCCAGAGCAATACCGTGGCCAGTGCTGGGATTTGTTATCTTTGACTACGTATATTTATTACCAGGGATTCTGTTTTTTTTCTTTTTTCTACAATGGTTGGGAGAGAGGAGGTTAAGAAGAAAAGTCAATTTTCATTCCTTAAAAAAATATATAATTTTTTAAAAATGTAGGAGATGAAGGAAGGAGGAAGAGGACCACCAGATTCAGATAGTTTCCAGGGGTGGGACTTCCCTGGGAGGAACAGTCAAGAGTAGCACTTGTCCAGTTTCTGAGAACTGGCAACATCTTCGGGACATAACTGGACAGCTACGGTGGCAGCTGATCGGGGACCTGTGACCTACCCCACCTCCCCAGATTCCTCTGTCCAGTGATTCATATTCTCCCTCTACTTTCCCAATCTCCCTTGCAGTTAATCTCTAGGAACCCTGCGGAGTTAACCCTCTCCTCCCCTCTCCCCTGCAGATATGTCTATGACGCTGTTGGTGGGGAGCACCAGTCAGTGGGGCCAGAGCTGGGGGCCACGTTGGCCACCTTTGCCATCACCACCTTGTGGCTGGGACCGTGTGATATTGTCTACCTGTGGTCTGCCCTGAACTGTTTCGGTCTCAACTTTGAGCTCTGGATGCAGAAGCTTGCTGAGTGGGGACCAGTGGCCCGAGCGGAGGTGAGCTGGGGTCGGCAGGGCCAGGGGGGAGGGGAGGGCCAGGAGAAGAGAGAAGGAAGATGGCAAGATGGCAGAAGACTTCAAGCACACACTGAGGAGCCTCTTGCTCCCCAGCTCTCCTTCCATGGTCCCTCCTAACTCTGGATCCTAACCCCATGTTACCTAAATGTCCTGCTGAATAGAGTGGGGTTGGGGCCAGTAGAAATGCAAGAAACTACACAGTTCACTTACATTGTCTAATTGGTGTTCAGGAGCCCTGAGCTGGGAGGCCTAAGACCTGGCTTCTGGCTTGTCTTTGACACTGACCTTCATTATGACCTTGGATGGCAAGCGACTCTCCCCCACTGGGCCTCAGTTTCCTCATTTGTAAGATGAGATGGTTGGACTGGACAGTCTGTCAGATCTAGGCGTCTATGATTCTGTTATTCGTAATCACAACAGCTCATTAATAATATTACAGCACCCACTTCTATAACTCTTTGAGGTTTAAAAAGTGCTGCAGGCATGTGTTATATCACCCCCATTTTACAGAAGAGAAAACTCAGGTTCAAAGAAGGGAATTGTCTAAGGACACACATCTAGGAAGTGGCTAGCTAGGCTTCCTGCCTGCAAGTCCAGTTCTAAAGTGAGAGCAGGGGCAGGAAGGAGGAAATTATCTCTCGTTCCTTATTTTTTTTGTGTGTGTGAGGCAATTGGGTTAAGTGACTTGCCCAGAATCACACAGCTAGTAAGTGTTATGTGTCTGAGACCAGATTTGAACTCTGGTCTTCCTGACTCCAGGGCCAGTGTCTGGTTTCCTATTAACCCCTGGCCCTACTCCCTGGATAATGAAGAGGGGGTTGTGTGTTTGAGGCCCCTAAAGCCTGAAGTTCCATTCTTCTCTAACCCCTTCCTAACTCCTCCTCCTCCTTGTCCCCCTCCCCTTCCTCCTCCTCTTCATCTCCCTCCTCCTCCTCTTCCTCTTCCCCCTCCCCCAAACTCCCCTTCCCTGTCTTTCCTCTGCTTTCCTGGGCTGGACAGGCCTCAGTGTCCGAGCAGATGTCCCGGAGAGCTCGGGCTCTCTTTGGGGCTGCAAACTTCTGGTCCATCATCGTGTACAACCTCATGTCTCTGAACAGCCTGGAGTTCATGGAGCTAGTGATCAGACGCCTAGTGCTCACAGGTTTGTTGGGGGCACTGGAGACCTGCTGGGAGGAGAAGGGGAGGGCAAAGATGAGACCGGGAGAGGCAGGCATCCCTTGTGACTAAGTCTGGCCAGTTAGGGGTGGGACGCAGAAGGAATCTGAGGCAGACATTCCAATTTCACTCAAGTCACTAACAGCTAGGTGATCTTGTGAAGGTCAGTAATTCTCTCTGAGCTTTAGTTTCCTTCCCCATAAAATCAGACTCTCTCTAATGTCCAGCTCTGACAATCCATGCACGTCCTAGGGTCCCTCCTAGCTCTGACAATCTATGTTCTATGTCCTGAGGGGCCCCCTGGTTCTGGTGTTCATTGTCTTAAATGATCATCCAGTCCTAAATACTACACACATACATACACCTATACAGATATGTGCTTTGAGATCATCAGAGAGGGGAAGGTCAAGCTCTGTGTTGTAGGGGAGATCACACTGGGGAAGGAGAGGAAATCTGTGGCCTTAACCAGTGGATGAAGGTAGGGCAGGGAAAAGGGTATGATCTTGCCCAACCCACAACGCCAACACCTTGTGCCACCTACCTAGGATTCCCTCAAAGCACCCTGGTCATTCTGTTTGTCACCTACTGTGGTGTGCAACTCATTAAAGAAAGAGAGAGGCTCCTGGCCCTAGAGGAAGAGAAGGAAGCTGCCAAAGAGAAGGCCGAATAGGGAGGAAAAGGAGGAAGAAAAAGAAGAAGAAGAGGAGGAAAAAGAAGAGGAGGAGGTAGAAGAGTGGAATCTGTACCATTGCCACCACCTGCCTTTCCCCAAGACCCTCCAAGACCCTCCAAACAGCCTGTTCCTGCCCTGCCTCCCCCTCAGCACTGCCCTGACTCCCTGGGTTCTAGGCCACAAAGGAGGCAAAGCCTTCAAGACAGAATAAAATTTTTTGCTACAACAGCTTGGTGGGTCTTCCTTCTCTTCCAAAGGATAGCAGGTGGGCTGGGTTTACGGAATATGGAATCTTGGCATTGGAAGGGTGGGCTGTCAAAGGTCAAAGGTTGGGGGCAGCTAGGTGGCCCAGTGGATACAGCACAGGTCCTGAAGTCAGGAGGACCTGAGTTCAAATCCGGCCTCAAACCAAACACTTAACACTAGCTGTATGACCCTGGGCAAGTCACTTACCCCCAATTGCCTAATTTTTTTAAAAAGGTCAAAGGTCATCTAGACCAACTCATACTTGAAGAAGAGAGCCCTCTATATACAATATCCCCTAGACTCGATCAGCAAGTCTTCACTGGAACATCTCCAGTGAGGGGGAAATCTATGGCTTTTTGAGGTAGCCCATTCCTCTTTGGGATTGTTCCATTTATCAAGAGACTTCATTGTATCAAGTTTAAATATGTCTCTTTCCTGTTCCAATCAGAGCAAATCTATTCCTCCCCATGCCCCCAGTATAGAAGACATTCCACATATTTAATCTGACATCAAGTGACAAGGGGAGCTCCTTGGGGGTGGGGAATGATAAGGGATTGCCATACCTGGAGTCCAAGACAAATCTTGTGTGCCGGCAGCTGGCACACTTGGCCCTGATTGTAACAAGGTCACGTTTGGTCAGTGGCATTCCATGATCTCCAGTCAATGCATATCTGCCATCCCTAGTCCCATGTCTTCCCTGTTCTAAGACCCATCGTACAAAGGCCCATAGGTTTTGTACCAGGTCATTCGATTTAATTTAATTCAATTCAGCAAACATTTATTAAACCTCTACTATGTGCCAAGCATGGTGGTAGGCATTGGGAATACAAAGACAAATGTGAATGGCCTTGGATTAAATGACCTCTGATATGCCAATAGTAAGGGCTTAACAAGTCCTTGTTGACAGACTCACTGAAATTCTGTAGTCCTGTGATCTGCTGACCTCTTCATTGTACATCTCTTAAATGGTGGGACATTTTTGACAAAACACATCCAGGGCTTAGACCAAGGTCTTTTGGCCCCCCAAGGCCAGTGTTCTTTCCCCTACACCTCTCTATTTTTTTAACATTAATTTTTAAATTTTTTCCTCAATTACATGTAAACAAAAATTTTAATATTCTTTTTTAAATTTTGAGTTCCAAATCCTCTGTCTCCCTTCCTCTCCTCCCCACTCCTTGAGGAGGCAAGCAATTTGATATAGATTATATGTGTGCTGTCATGCAAAACATTTCCATGTTGGCAACGTTGTAAAAGAAAACACAGACCAAAAAAAAAACACAACACCCAAACCAAGAATAACAAAAAAAGTTTTAAAAAAGTATGCTTCAACCTGTATTCAAACTACATCAGTTCTTTCTCTGGAGGTTGATAGCATTTTTCATCATAAGCCCTTCAGAGTTGTTTTGGATCATTGTATTGCTGAGAATTACTACATCATTCACAGTTGATCATCATTATGTTATCACTGTTACTGTGTGCAATGTTCTTGTGGTTGTCATTTCACTTTGCATCAGTTAATATAAGTCTTTCCAGGTTTATCTGAAGTCCACCTGCTCATCATTTCTTATAGCACAATAGTATCCCATCACAATAATATACCTCAGCTTGCTCAGCCATTCCCCAACTGATGGGCAATCCCTCAATTTCCAATTCTTTGCCATCACAAAAAGAGATGCTATAAATATTTTTGCATATACAGGTGCTTTTCTGATTTTTTTTTATCTCCTTGGGATACAGATCTACTAGTGACATTGCTGGATCAAAAGGTATGCACAATTTTATAGCCTTTTGGGCATAGTTCCAAATTGCTCTCCAAAATAGTTGAATCAATTCACAACTCCACCAACAGTGCATGAGCCTACACCTCTCTATTGTCTCTTATTAAGCACTAAATCATCTGGTGTCACTTTATAACTTGTTTATGGACTCAGCTTTTAAAAGGCATTCCCCACTTAAGTAATTTTTCTGTTAAGAAGGCTATAATGAAGTAGTGGTATTCAGGCATATTCTGAATTTAAAATCCATGCCTTAGAGTTGAGATCCTGGTTAGAACTATGGACTTTGCACTTATTATTTTTTAAAAATAATTTATTGGAACATCTGAATTAAAATATCTCTAAACACTGTATTTGAAGAAAATATATATGGAGCAAGCTTTTATAGAATGTTATTTGTAAGGTATAATTTCGAATCTATCTTTCAAATACTTAGCATAATAGTTATTTGATTCCTAGTACTTTTTCCTTTATGGTTCCAGAAAGAGTTACATGCTTAGAGCCTTCACTAACTCACTATTTTGTTTCAAAACCCCCTGGCCTCATACCCAGCTCCTGGAACTTTCCCATTCACCACTATTTTTTCTACTTTCCTTTAAAAAAATCTCTGTAGCCAGCCCCACTGCTTCTTTCTCCAGTACCACAGATCCCTTGTATGTAGCTGTTCTCAAATAGAATAGAGGTTGGATGGCTGCTTATTAGAGAGTTTATATAGGGATATATCCATCAAGCTATGATTTGCTTTAGATAACTTAAATCTAGTGAAGTTACTATGTACTATGTACACAGTACTACGAAAAGGTCTAGTGTACCCTCTCAGATTCATTGTTTTTAACCTCTTCTTCCTTCCTTGTATCCTCCTTCCCTTTCCCCTCTTTCTCCTTCCTCTCCCTCCTTTTCCTCTCCTTCCCCTTCCTTTCCTCTTTCAGCTTAGGTGGAAAATACACCCATTTGAGGCAAAACAGGGCGGCTATGTGCCAAAAGTGTGAAACCCGAAGCTTCGATCTCCTCCCCTTCCAAAACTTTTCCTACCAAATGCTTTTAAGGTCTTTGCCTGTTTGGTTGGCTATTTCGTCTCTGTGAGACCCCACTCTCCTCCCCCTTACTTCTCCCTCCTATCAAATATTTGCCTTCCCAGTAATTCCTAAAAGCACTTGTAACTAGGTGGCCAAGTGGATAGAGCTCTGGGCTTGGCCTTAAAAAGGCCTGAGTTCAAATCCAACCTCAGACACTTACTTGCTCTAAGTGGCGAAGTTAACTCACCCTCTGTTTGCTCCAGTTCCCTCTGCTATAAAATGGAGATAATAACAATACCTGTTTGTAAAGTGCTTGGCACATGGTGGGAATTATATACATATTTATTCCCTTCCCCCTTTCCTTGTATAGACCACCACACACAGACACAAAGTCGATTTCTTCTTTTAGGAATCATTTAAAATCATTGCTATATTATACATATAATAATTATTAATTATATTAATATATTTTAAAATATATAATACAAATGTGTACATACATATATACATATCATGGTCCAAAATGTACATATACATACACATATATACACAAACACACATATACATACACATATACATATACATATACATATACATATACACATACATATACATATACATATACATATCATGACCCAGAAGCAAAGTTTTGTATTCTCATGGACAAGGTTGAATTTTTCAGGATTTTCAATAATAATTTCTATTGATTCATGTGCTTACCCAGGATTTCCTTAAGAATATCTGTATTTGGCTCATTTTATCTGCAGAATTTGGTTTGTGTCTAGGTCTCTAGAGCTCCTAAGAAATCATTGAATATAGGACAGATTTTATTTAACCTGACAAAAGTGAAGGATTCATTTGTCATGTCCAACTCTTTGTAACCCTGTGGGCCATAGCACGCCAATACTCTCCATGAGGTTTTCTTGACAAAGATACCGGAGTAGGTTGCCATTTTCTTCTCCAGTGGATTAAGGCAAACAGAGGTTAAGTTACTAGCCCAGGGTTATACAGCTAGTAAGCATCTGAGGTCAAATTTGAACTCAGGGCTTCCTGACTCCAGGCCCAGAGCTCTATCTACCGAGCCACCTCACTGCCTAAAGGATTCATGCCCAAACCCATAAACAACCATGACAACTCTCCTTCCTTCTCTATTGAGCTTTCACTACCAACCCCCACTCCCAGGGTCTATAAAGCTCTCTAAGCTTACAGTAATGCCAGGTGTTCTCTTTCTCTTGTAAGATGTCTAAAGCAGAAATGTAAAACACTTCAGTGAAACCAGAACCAGATTTACAATGTAATTGGGAAATATTTAACAACATAAATAAAAATACAATAGCACATAGATAATATTAACATGTGGTTTTCTAAGTCAAAAGATCCTTATGTATAGGTTAGTGGCCCCCATTTCTATTCGATTTTGACACCATTGCTATAGAGCACCCACTCCCTTCCCTGGGCCTGTACAGTCTGCATAAGTCACAGTGCATTGAAGGACAAGCTCCTCCTTATAAAGGTTGTTTTCCTGCTGCTCTTTGAGCTCCTACTTGTTCTAGGAGTACTTCCAGTGGATTCAGAAAATTTGGTCTAGGGATTCCTTCATTGTTCTGTCCATTCTATCCTGCCGCTGCTAGTCTGATCTCATATAGCCCCCTCTTGGCTTGGCCCGGTGTCGTAGTCCTTACCAGAGGTCACGGGATTTAGAGGTGGTTTCCCAAAAGCGTCCAATAGACCAATAATATATAGGTGTTTTATTATGGAGTATGAGCTTCTTGAAGGCAAAGACCATGGGTATTTTTTTTCCTCCTATTTTTGCAACCTCAGCACTTAGCACAGCGCCTGGCCCATAAGAAGAGTTTAATAAATGTGTGTTGACTGGCATAGTATTGATCACTAATCTCCTAGTCTGGGAGTGAATGGGGTGGGGAAGGGACAGTGAACCTGCCCATCTACTGGGGTCTCCAACAGCAATTCCATTTTTTTTTTCGGTTTTTTTTTTTTTGGTTGGGCAATGGGGATTTAAGTGACTTGCCCAGGGTCACACAGCTAGTAAGTGTTATGTATCTGAGGTTGGATTTGAACTCAGGTCCTCCTGATCCAGGGCCAGTTCTTTATCCACTGCTCCACCAAGCTGCCCCCTAGCAATTCCATTCTGGTGGTGATCTTGTGACCTCACCCAGACCACCTAAAATAT